GGATGACAAAAAAAAATAAATGACTAGACCTGAAGTGCAGGTTCTGCGAAGAACACGCACGAACGGCTTTCTGACGCTTGGTCTTTGGAAACAGACGGAAGACAAAGGGAGCTCTAATTATGTAGCTAAAATCGTGTCTGGCTGAGAGGGAATGTTTCGGTGATCAGTTTATTTGCGCTTGGGGCGTGTTCGCGTTTCAGATGTGTCGGCCCTTCGGGAGAGACTGTGCTCATTTTGCGCTTTCCTCTTGTTTTGACACAGCACCCCGAGGTGCCTTTTGCGGATGTGTGGAAAGCGGTCAGCGCGTCTACTGCGCTAATGTTACGCCGTGCTCGACAATGCAATTTCTGGATAATCGTGCGCTCTTATAAGTCCCGCTCATGGACGACAAAAGGCTGTAGTCTGTATTTTAGAGTTTAAGAATCTTTTAGCCCAAATTAGCCCCACTTACTGTAAATAATGTAGCGCTAAAGACGCTAACATGCTCTTCAGTCTTTTCTTGTACCCTGTTGCTGTCCCGCCTTCGTAGCTGATATCAGCCTAGATGTTAGTCACTTGATTTTTTTATATATATAAATAAATCTTGTGAAAATATTCCCTCGACTTTATTTAGAACACAGCAGGGTTATTTAACGAGTACTGCTTTTGATTTTTGATTGCTAGTAAATGGGGCATTTGATTCTGTTTGACAAAGATTTCCATTATTTGGCGTTTTCGTAAGGACAAATTCAGCCCACACGCGGGTGCAAATGCAAGTACCGCCTCATGTTGTTCTTTGGATGAGTTTGCTTATTTCCAGCTGAGGGCTGTATGCTGCAGTAACCGACGAGACCCAAATTAGCCCTGCCGGCATTCTTGACACCTCGGAGGACCTGCCTCAAAAAGTAGACATTCTCGTTATTGTCCCTGCCTTGCCCCCGGGTGGAGGCGGCGCGTTCGACTCTAAGGCACCTGTGGCATCTTGGGAACAATGTAAAGCCCGGCCTGAACTGTGTTCTCAGTTTCATTGTGAAGCTCGGAAAGGATATTCTCCGTAGGCGAGGCATCCGCTGATGTCTAGCATGCACCGTCTCCTTTCTCCTAGCTAATTAGGGGAGGAAATGACCATGTCTCACCGCTCCCTTGGCCCAACAACGCAGCCCATGCTAGAGCTGATATCTGCATTCGGCTGGCAAACGGGGAAATGCGACCCAGTTCAGAGAACTTCTCCTTCCACTGGTCTGAGAGGTTTGAGTTCTACAGCTAGTTAGCGAGAGGATGTCACTGGAAGGGATGTGTCGCTTGGAAGAGTGGGAGCAGTGATTGGCCAGGTCGGAGCAGGGGGTACCCATAATTTTAATCAATCGGAATTTTTGTGGAACCTGTAAAGGACCATTTTGTGAGGACCTCTCTACTTTTGTATATCTGTCATATCATTCATTCCGCCCCCCCCCTTTTATCTAGCCATTTCTTGGCCCTGCCGATTTCATTTCAGACCACAGTGAAAAGTGTCACAGCGTAGTATGCCCCTCCATAAACGACAGTGCTGGGTGGGGGTGTATTTGTGACTCCAGTGGGGGGAGTCTTAGCAACCCTGTGTCATGATACTTGCGAAATTCCAGGATCCCTGTGAAAAATGGAGTGTCACCCAGCATCCTTTGCTCTGTGTCAGCCCGGCATGTAGGTCCAGTTTCTTCGCTCCTCGTCCCCAACCCCATCCTCTGCATCCTCCCCCACCTCGTGACCCTACTCACACACACTGGGGAGGAGTAGGAGGGCAGTGACCTCCCCGGAGTGTCATCACCGGTGCCCCGGCACACAGACGCGTGCTGGTTTTTATTACCTGCTCTCTCTCCGCTAAGAGGATTGTCTCCTGAGCTGCCTGGCCTGTATGCGGTTATTTAAAGGGAGCTTGTATCACCGCCCACTGCCTACCACGGATTGAGAGAGCGAGAGAGGGAGTGAGAGAGAGAGAGAGAGAGAGATAGATAGAGGGAGGCTGACTAACAGACAGAGGAGGAGGAGGCAGGGAAAGCAACCGCAGTCCGTCCTCATCCCGGCCCTCGTCCACAGAGAGGCGCCGCTACCTGCTCGCCCCTGGCTGCCACCCCCAGCCTGCCCCATCCTCAGCCAGCTCACTCTCCCCCCGGGGCCATGGCCAGCCAGCAAGACTCCGGCTTCTTCGAGATCAGCATCAAGTCGCTGCTGAAATCCTGGAGTGGCAGTGAGTACCTATGTCTGTGTTCGCAGCCCGGGAGTAACATCCTGGGAGTCCGGGGGGTGGAGGAGTTGGGGTCGCGCTGTCGGCCGCTTGTCTTGGGCACAAGTTCCCAGCCATGCACTCCTCTGATCGGTGTCCCCTTCCCCGCCGATCGCGCTGCCTCACCCTGTCACCTTACACATTCCGGTACCATCTCGTCCCGGTTTTAAAATAGCTCCGGTTGCACGCGGGGACAGCGTAATGGGATTAGGGAGGGCTCAGCTCAGCTGTGCTCAGATGGATCGACCTCCGCTGGCACCCCCTGCTGAAACGAGTGTTAGCGTCCCACGATAGCAGGTGTAAGTTCCGAACCGGCCAGCGATGTGTCACTTTGCGTGAATCTGTGGAGGATGTGTGGGTACCGGCTCACATCTTTCGAGCGCTAGTGATTCGGGGGGGGGGGGTCCTCTGTTTACGTTCCAGCTCCTAGTTACTTGCCCCAGACTACAGTGCTGTTACGTAATGGCAGTTTCTTTCTCTCTGAATTTTTGACAAAAAACAGTTTTCACCTGTTTCTTCCTGTTACTTCTTGCTGCTCTGTAATAGACCAGTAAAAAAAGACTGAAATGTTCCTCATTTGCAGCCTTGCTGCCCGCTTATAGCCTATCGAGCATGATAGTGGTGCACAGCTGTGCCGTAGTTATGCCTAGGAGATCCCAGCTAACTGCCAGTGATGCAGCAGGAGACGCCTTTCCAGGAGGGCAGGGGCGCGTTCCCCTCCGAGTCCTCCAGGGGGACGCCGTGTCCACCACCCGCATGTTCTCATGGGCGAGGGGAGCCCAGTGGGAAGGGAGAGGGGGTCAGCAGGGTAATCTCCAGGTTTCTCCTGGCAGAGGAGGTGATATGGGGTTGGTGGCCACGAGCAGAAACGCCGCAAAGGAACTTGCTCTTCAGGCTGTTGATTTGTGCCTTATTTACTTTTCCATCACGATCTTCCTAAATTCCACCCAGACAGACAGACACACACACACACACACGCCTCTCTGCACCCCCCCTCCCTCCCCCGATAGCCCCCTCTGTCCACCAGTATGCCCGCCAGGGGGGGTGCCACAAGGACCGTCCTCTCTGCTTTCAGACAAAGCCTTTATCTGTGAGATGGTGTGACAGACATCAGCTACGCAGTGGCTGGGTGACTCTCGGGCTGCGTGACTCCCTCCTCCCTCCTCCCTCCTTATTTTCCATATGTTGCCTGAACACGCACCTCCAGCGTGTTTTGCCAGTTGGGCCACGGTATAAAAATCAAATAATTTTCCTGGTTTTGGTGGGGTACAGATCTGCTCAACATGCTTTCACCGGGGGCCACTGCACTGCTGTGGGGGGGGTTTGCTCAGCCCACAAGGAAGGGGTGCCCCCCAACCATCACTGACTTTGCATGGTCAATTTTTTTTCTTTCCTGTAATTTTAATTTCCCCTTTTTGCTTTATGGATGGTGCTTTAAATGGGCAATCAGTATAATGGGCTCTACCTCACACCGGAGACGTTATCTGATTATAACCTGAGCGTTTCCTTGTTGCTCTGGGGCCAGTAACATATTACCAGAAGGATTGATTATACAGACTTGTACCTGTGTTAGTGGAAGGCTGTGCCGTTGCCTTACACATTCAGACACATGGCACGTGGATTCACTGGCATGTGGTCAGTGTGCTGCCACGGCAACCGCAGCATCTTCACATTTGAGTCCATGGGGGTGAGGATTCACTGAGAACTCTGTGTGTGTGTGTGTGTGAGTGTGTGAGTGGGAGTGAGTGACAGGCTCTGTGGTTTTGTGCAGTTTTGCTAACTTTGTGGGGATAAATTCCTGTAATGTCGCTACAGAAATAGTAACTGCCATCAAGACATCACCCGCAGCTATTTCTGAGTCGAATCTGAGTGGGATTATAAATCTTTAAAGGTTTTAAATTGATGTTCTGGCACATCACCAGAAAGTCAGAAATCTGTGTTCACATGTGCTCGTAAGTTTTTTAGTGTACGTGTGAGTGAGCCTGTGGGTATGTATTTATTTCTGTATGTGTGTGTGTGTGTCTTAGGCATTGTTGCCAGGGCAGTGCCCCCCCCCGCCCCAAGCCTTTTCAGCACAGCAATGATGTCACGCTCCCTGTGCTCAGGCCTGTCTTCTGTCTGCCGAGTCACATGTTAGCATCTCAGCCTTAACCGGAGCCCAGGGGCACGTGGAGCCCCGCCCCCCCCCAGCTGCCCTCCCCAACCCGAGCGGCTGACAGCGAGGCTCCAATTTACAGTGTCCGGGCCAGAAGCTTCCCCTGACCCTCCCATGCATCCACACGCTCGCAAAAATCTGTAATGATTAATAGCTTGCTGCTCACCTGATGTCTTCAGATATCAGAGAAACACTGCATGCTACAGTATATGTCACACTGCAGAACCTTTCTGATCCACAGGCTCCCCGGCAGTTTTCTTGCCGATTTTCCCGTGGGATTTTGCTCAGAAGGCATTTCACAGGCACGCTTTATCCCGACTGCTCCGTCAGGTGTTATACCGTATTCCTCAGCTGAGCTGCGCATCTGTCGGCCTGTTGTCGGCATGAGGGCCCCGCACCATAGCGCCCCCGTCTGCCAGACACACTCGTTACAACAAAAGCGTATTACAATACTTTGTCTCACTCTCCCAAAACTTCCCATAATGCCTGAAATCGTGGGTAGATTTCAGTATTTCTCCAAAACGGCCTGCTAGATTTTATTTCGCAGATGCTCAGCTATGTTTTATTCAATAAGGTCTATTTGTCGTTGGGTAGCAGGGTACTCACCAGTGGCACTGTTTATTGTGCAGCACGCTCTGTCTCCTAGCCGGGCCAGGTACCAAACCAGTGGACACTAACCGTACTAGTAACCGCTGACAAAGGTAGTGACCCTACTTTCATAAACACGTATTTCAGGATATCGTATGTCAGAGCATTTGCTAAAGCGATTTGTCTAAATGTGTAGCAGTAACGGAGCTATTTTGCAGGGTGCGGGGGCCTTGCTGGGGGGCTAAGACTGTGGGTGTAGTGTGCACCCAGGGATAAATATAGGCGCTGGGCTATGCCATCCCCCGCATGTCAGCTCTCGTCACCGCGCGTCGTGGCTCGGCTAAAAATTGCCAGCTGACCTTCAGTGCGGGGAAGGCGCCGGGCGGTCACAAGGCTGAAGACAGCCGAAGACGGAGCTGGGAGAGACCGGCGTGGCGTCGAGCCGTGCCAGTGTGCTGTGCCTCCGCCGCCTCCCGCTGTGCGCCACGTGCCCGCCCTCCGCCATGGCGGCAGTATGCCCGGGCAGCAGGAGCTAGAGACCCTCCGGCGCCGCGTTATGGACGTTTACTGGGGGCTCGGCCGTCACTCGCCTGCCGGCATGGAGGGCACCACCATGTGCTGGAGTAAGGCCAGGTTCATCAGCTTCATCAAGGACCTGGGTAGGTGTGTGTGGGGGGGGCGCAGGTCGGGCGTATGCAGTGAGAATTTCTGGAGGGGTGGGAAGCATGCTAACCACCCCCCAGCCACACTCCACCCTTTGTGGGTCCCTGCTTAAGATTCTAGAGCTCTGTTCCCCAGTCCGGTTCTGAGGGACCCACAGTCGGTCCGTGTTTTTGCTCCCTCCCAGCTCCCACATAGACTGTCTGTGGATCCTCGAGGACCAGATTAGGAATCCCTGATCTAGAACAACTAACCTCCCCTATCCTAAAATGGGTGGGTTTTTTTTGTGATGTTTTTTTATCCAGTCGTCTAGAAAACAGCTTGTATTTAAAGCCAGAACTGTAGCTATAAAATTATTTAACACTATTTAAAGTTTTCATGTTCAAAGACAACAGGACCTGGAAGTCTGAAATGCTTGTAGTGGTTTGTGATCAACGTAAAGTGTTGCCTGCTTAGCCTTTGTAATATCAGAAACTGTTTAATCGTCGGGACAGTCCAGTTTCTCATGGAGGCCATCAGCAGTGCAGGGGGGTCCAGATGGGTGGCTTTCAGGGAGTGGACCCCCCCCCCCCCCCCCCCCCCCCCCCCCCCCCCCCCCCCCCCCGCCGCTCCCCCTCTGTCCCCTGCATCCCACAGACACCTGACTCGTCCGATCTGGTGGGCATCTTGCCACTCATGGCACTCGATGACATCGAGGCATTTCCATCCAGTCAGGAGCGTTTAACAGCGAAGCCCGCAGAGATAAGAATCACTTACCCAGGATTCCAGGATTGCTTCAGTGAACATCTCGACTTTTAGAGATGTGGGTGTAGACTTGTGAATTATAAGCTATACTCATTAGTGACGCAGGATACACTTGTACTTTAAAGGAATATGAAATTATTTTTAAAAAATATACTGTCTGTATTGTATGTGTGTATATATGCAAATATATTCCTAATTTTTCTTGTAGTTGATTATCAAATAATACTCTGCATATTTTCTTGTCCTCATTTAAAGACTGGATTGCCATATATTTCCAGTTTGCAGCCCGCAGTTTTTCCCATGATTCAACAGGGCTCTCTAAGGATGACATCGCTTGTGCCTCATGACAGTGAAATGCACACTGGGTGCTGTAGAGAGCCACAGGAAGCCAGTGATGTGTGTGGCAGGACAGAAGGAAATGCGGCTTTTATTGCTTAAAGGAGCTACTGTTTTTGGTGTCAATTGGCACAACCTCATTCATTCTTACTGCTTAAATCCAGTTCTGATCCGGGCTCTGCCCTTTGTGTGTGTGGGTGTGTGTGTGTGCGCGTGTGTGTTGTTCTGTGTGTGTGGTTCTGTGTGCCTTTTTCTGTGTGTGTATGTGTGTGTGTGTGTGGTTCTGTGTGTGAGACTGTGTGTGTGTATATGTGTGTGTGTGCGCGTGCATGAATTTCACCATGAGCTGCAGAACAGACTCCTAAAAACCACATTCTTGTTTGCATCAGAGATTAACTGTAAACAGATGCACGGATGGTGCAGATTCCAGATAAAATAAACACGACTAACCGTAAGCGGAGTCATTCACTTTTAATGAATCTTCCCTTCCTGCAGTGTTCAGTGTCCTTGTGCTTTTACATTCTACAGTAAATAACACACAAGGTTATGGCAGCACGGTGAAGTGACTTGCTGCTGGTTTAGTGTTTGCATCTTCTGAGAATCTTGCTGGTCTGCTTCTGTTTGTTTAAATCTGTGAGTTTATGGGGGGGGGGGTCTCTCCCTGCTTCTCCTCTCCAGCGCATAACCTCAGTCTCCTGCCTGTTGCATCTTGCAAACAAAATCATTAGATGAGATGAGCATGATGATGGTTTGACTTATATTGGCCCCTGAGGAGACCTTGGTGGTCAGGCGGTCACGGTCAGGCGGTCATGGTCAAAGGTTTCCTGGGTCACAGGTCCAGTTCATGTTCTGTTCCCTCACTGAGGCTGGAATGTTTAATTGATGGGGTGTTTTCTGCCTAAAAGCTAATCTCCTGCACACCCAAAATGTATCATTTGTAAGCTGTGAAACTTGGTATCAGCCCAATCCAAGATTTTTTTAAGTATTATTTTTATTGTCGATGATGGTGTTTTGATGCAGGTATCTGAGTAACTTTAGTGCGTTTAGTATGATTTTGGTCTCTTTAGGATGTGATGCACTGTTAAGGTGTGGTTTGTGTCTTTCTTTCTTTTGTTTAGAAATCCATGCAGTCACCCCCTGAGAAATGAGGATGTTTACCGTTTTTGTGTCTGCTGTCACATGTGCCCCCCCACCCCCCACCCCCGCATAAGTCAGTCTAGCTGCTGCAGCTGCTGACTATGAGGCCTTAATTAATGCATGTGGGCTGTGAATGATCTGTGGCAGTCAGGGCAGCTGAGAGGCAGAGGGCAGGAAAAATGTAATGTCTGAAAACTCAAGAAATGTCAGAAAACAACCTGCGAGTGAATGAGCCCAGTGTTCGGGCCGGAGGGTTAGGAATCAGGTTTAAATCTTTATAATGCTTTATTTAATCATATCTGTGAGTCAGGTTTATAAATTAATCACATTTTTTTATTTTAATGATTGAAAATGCAGGTCCTATTTTTATTTTAGTGAAGTGCATGTGTTGATGGTAATTATTTTTGCATTTTGTGTTTTGGTGATAAATTTTCAAAATTAACTCGCTGTACCTAACTATGGAGAGTTTATTTGTGTCATCAGGCGAGTTATGTAAACTAAAAAGAGGAGGATAGCTGAAATTCCAGTGTTTGGTGGGGGTGGGGGGTGATTGATGTTAACTGGAAATGTATTCTCTGAGATGTTGACTGACATCTGCCTCTGTGTGTGTGTGTGTGTGTGTGTGTGTGTGTCTGTCTGTCTGTCTGTATACGGGTGCTTGCATCCGCAGCATCACCAGTGGGGAACGGATACGCCAAAGCCCCCCCCATCCCTGTATCCAGCGTCCCGGGGGAGAAGGAGCCTCCCGCTATGTTGCCCCTCAGCGTGGACCCCGAGAGTCGGCCCGGCGAGTACGTCCTCAAGAGCCTCTTCGCCAACTTCGCCACGATGGCCGAACGCAAGATCCGCATCGTCATGGCCGAGCCGCTGGTGAGAGATTAAACACCCACCCATGTCTCTGCTACTTCCACACAGCCTTTTCATCTCTCAGCTTCTGTAAGCTTTGGGGGGAAAAAAATGTGTCTGACCACGTGGGAGCTGTTTACGACGAGAACCCTGAGAAGCAGCTCTTGCTTGAAGCTTCACGCTGTGAGCAGGTGACTGAGGTCACGACCCCACGTGTCAACAATAGCGGGACTGCTCATAACTCAGCCCTGCCTGCTGCGTTAATACGCAGTTCTTCCAGACAAAACAAAGAAGCCTGCTGTGTCCAATTGTGAAATCTCTTACGGGCCATAATTATTGTCGATAAAATCTGCCAAAGCTCCCTTTTCAGTGTAAACCTCCCCAACCCTCTCATGCTGAGTAAAGGGGACTTTGTGCCGCGTGAATAAACGGATCCTCAGTGGGCCGTAAGGGCTGCAATATTCATATCTAATGGTTCTATTAACATGTACGTTACAGATGATAAGCAGCATTATTTAACACGTATGCACTGTGAAGTACTTCCAGATGCATTCACGGTGAGCCCAGTTAGGAGTGTCAGCACTGGGAAGGACCTCTGGGCTTCAGGCTGGACAGTCTGAACTTCCTCATGAGACACTCAGACTTAAGCAGGTGATAAAGAGACTTAGCCAGACATTTAGCCAATGGTGGAGGGTTAGTTTTCACAGCTTTGTACCTTAAAGTTAGTGGAGTGGAAGCAGCTGGCCTCGATGCCCGTGTTACCCCTGTGAGTGGCAGAGAGCGGCGTGAGCTCCGCAGACAAAGAGGGACTTTTCTTTGGTGATGGTTGCTTGTGTTACTTAGTGGGTCAGCTGGCTGCTTCCGCACCACCTCACATCCCAGGCGTGGCTCGTTTCTTGAGAGGCCGCACCCGCCTTAGACAGAGGAACTACTCATGCTACCTGTAGTGTTTGCTGAAATCTCAGGATGTGAAACGTTTGCTTTTAATACGGTGCGGCTCAGCTGACCGGTCAGCTCCACCTTCAGCTTGGAGCTCAGGGAGGTGCTGAGGGAGGTGCTCTGGGCTCCTTCATCCCTGACCTGGTCTTCAGCCCAACCCCCACACTGCTTGTGTTTACTCTTCTTACTGAATGTGCATGAGTGTGTGTGTTATTGCCTGTGGATGCATTTAAGTACAACTGTTTACCATATCTTGTGTTGTGTTATGTGCATCTTTGAGTGAAGTATGTGTTTTTATGTGCTTGGAGAAGGCCTTTTGGACGAGTGCAGTGCCTGGTTAGGCTGATTGTGTGTGTACGTGTGTTACATATGTATCTGTCTGTGTTAAAAGGGTATGCTAAATAGCGCAGTTTTAAAGCCCTTCGTTTGCTGTTCGTTTGCAGGAATCTGTGTGTGTTTGTTTTCACGCCGGCCTGCTCCTACACGGAGGGAGACCAGCAAAGGATACAGGTTAAAATTAACTGCCTGCTTGGGGCCTCCATAGCGTGTCTTGGTTACAAGGGAGTTGCTGTGAGCCGGGCAAATGGAGGAGACAGGAAAATATCCAGTTCCCATTTTCGCTAAATCAGAAACCAAAGCCTGAGACTGAGCTTCCCAGAGCGTGCGCTTCTGATTCCGGAATGGTCCGGCCGCTCTCATCTCTCACCGAGCTATGTCTTCATTCTGATTAAATTACACCAGGAGTTTATCGACAGTATACCCCCTGCCAGCTCCCTGGTCTTCAAAACCACAACCGGCCTGAACGTGCTGGAGGTTCATATTGAAATGATCACCATTCACGATGGCCTGTGTCTTATGGCTTTTTCAGCAAACCTTTTCTCAAATTCATTGCAAAAACTGATTTTAAACTTAAGCTTAGAAATAGAAGTTTAGAAAAGGGGGCAGCTTGATGGCCCTGATTGGATACGGGGTGTTGTATGGCTGTTCTGTGACCAGAAGGTTGCTGGTTCAAACCCCATATTTGGCAGAGTGATTTTATCATTGGGTTCTAACCCAAAATTGCTTCTGGGACTGTCTGAACCAGCATTCTCAGTTCTATGTTGCATAGGATAAAAGCATCTGCTAAACGTCGAGGTTTCAATCCCACCCGTGCTCCGTATGTGTGGAGTTGTGTGGGTTTTGTTTGAGCACTTCTGCTTTGCTCCCATAATCGAAAAGCACGCAGTGAGGTGAGTTAGTGTCTCTGAGTTGCCTTTTGTGTGTACATGAAATCTGTGATAGACTGGTGTCGCATTCCATATTTTCCAAACTTTGGAAACTACTCCAGGGTCACTGCATTCCTGTTCCGACTGAGCACTGTAGAAGGTGGATGGATGCAGCAATGAGTTAGTTTGAATGATTAGTTATTTTTAATATATCCTCCTGGTTAAGGATGACGGGGTCCTTCTCGACCTGCATTTTTTAATGTTAGTTTAGATGTTAGCTTTGTTAGCAACCTAGATAAGGCACCAAGACCAAACCACCAGGTGATATGTGTAAGTCCTCAGGGTTAATAACGTGGAAAGAGCAGAGTGAATCTCCAGTGTGGCACCAGTGCAACCAGCTTAGAGGCGTGCGTTCCTGTTAGCGCTGTTACCCTCCCACATGCATTGCTCATTGCTAACCGGCTACTGGCGTATCTTTTCACACCAGTCATCAGAGGTGGAAATTTCAGTTCCAGAACGTACTAATCCAGACCAAGGTTTTGTTTTAACCAACCACTTGAATACTCTGTGAGTATGTCTCTCTATATCCTCCTGAGACCCAAGGAAAAAAGTGTCCTTCAATTTTAGGTTATTTGTGATTTTCTATGTCTTTGGAGGAAATAAGACATCTTACAATTTAGATTTTTTCAATTTTATTTTTAATTTCACAACATGTCCTCTTTAGTGTACAACAGAAATAAATATGTTACATCAGTGAAAAGATAGATGCAAAAACAAAATGTCCACTACAATGGGCATAAATGAGTGGGTGGGGTCTCAGGAGGATACTGAACTGGTGTTTGAAACTAAATCTTGGTCTGGATTTGTACTTTCTGGACCTGAAATTTCCACCTCCGCCAGTCAGAGATCGTTATCTCACTTCCTTTTCACATGCCTCCTCTCTCCAACATGTTCCCTCTGAGGTATAAAGCAGCCATTCCCCTTGTTTAGAGATGCCCAGGATAACATGGGCTGACACATGTGTGGGTTAATGTGCAAGCCTGCTATCGGATACTAATGTGATTCTGATTGAACATCAGATGGTCGCAGTATGATGGATTTCAGGGGCAGCAGTATGTCAGACTTGTATTATTATGTTTTAGTGGCTGATTCTTGTCCAGCAGACTGTGCGTAATGAGGGTCACCAGTCCATGTCCTGGACAGATACAGGGCTAAGGAGGACAACACAGCACTGGTTTATGCTTTTGCGGAAAGTTTCCAAATTCCAGTTCTTTAGAATCTACTGTATGTGATGTACACAGTTCTGTGCAAAAATCTATGGCAGTAAAAGATAATTATGTTTAAATAATAAGTTTTAACACAATATTATGTCTGTCAAAGTGTGTGAGCTTAGCCATTTTGAAACCTCTCCTAAAATCACCCCAGTATTTGTAGCAAACATCCAATTCATCCATGTATTTGTTGACTTGACCACTAGCATACCTTGTTTGGTTAATCAATACCTCATTGAGTTATTTAATTAAGTAATTCATTTTAATTAGTTGGTGGTGACATTTAATCAATACATGGAATGACTGGGGTGCCCCTGAGGAGAATTTTGGGAACTGAAGTGGTGGTCATTTAGCCATCCACCTAGATATTAGTAACTTTTTGGAGAACAGAAGAAATTCTAGAGCGACTGGGTATAAGGGTCTTGCTCAGAGGCCAATTGTGAAATCACTCAGCTGACTAGGGGATTTGAACAAATGACCTTCTGATCACAGAGGCAGTGTCCTAACTCACTGAGCTACACACCGAGCTACAATAGTCCCTCCCCCTCAAGTCTGTAGTTCTGTTTGGGTGAACGCCATGAAAAGCTTTTCTCTTTTTCGCGCGAAAAAATGACCTCCTGCTGAATATTCATAGGCGGGAAAAAAACAAACAAAACAGACGAGGTCAGTGAGAGGTACAGTCCGGGCCATTGTGTGGGTCAGCCGGACTGCTGTACCACCTCGCTCAGAGCTGGACGTCCTCCCCGGTCCAGGGCAACAGCCCCCCCCCAGCCCCAACCGACGGTCCTGTGTGGTTTTGCGGATCAAGAGCCCCAGCTGCATTGCTACAGATAAAAGCCCTGGGTCAGTCCACTTCTGTAGAAAGACGAATACTGTGACTCCCTGTCCATGGAAGGAAATGGTACATTCCAGAAATGTTTGTACTTTGTTCACTTCCATTGATAAGATTTGAACAAAGTGTATTGTGACTAAAAACAAACTTCTAGCATTGTCAAAACTAATTATTTAATGTAGGTGCAGATGTTTATCCTCTGTGACTAAAACAGGATTCTATGGCAGTTACGGGCAATTGTGTAATTATTGTTTATTCATGTCTTCATGCACGATTTGCTGGGTCCCCTACTGTTCCCATCATCCTCTGCAATACATCCTTTGCCAGAGCCCGGGAAAATCGGAAGAAAGCATCAGCTGACCTGGGCTCTCAGACAAAGAAACACTCAAGAAAAAATATGACTAAGGTGCTGACGTCCCTAATGACAGAGCTGTGATGGACTGAGTTCTAATGGGACTTCATCATGATGTGTCCTCACTGATTAAAGACAGCAGCCAATAATAGAGCATCGCTTCTGTCTGACATCAGCGGCCAGGGTCCAGACTGACTGATGGGGCTCCCTCTTTTCAGTCAGAAGTGAGCTGAGAACTTCCGGAAGCTTCTTTGACGCTCCTGCTCTTGCCCTGCTGACGGAGATTTATCTCTGCAGGAAAAGCCGCTGACGAAGTCGCTGCAGAGGGGCGAGGATCCACAGTTTGATCAGGTCTGTGCCGGCGAGGGGAGTTGGGTCCGACCGGGAAAAAGTCTGCAAGTTTCAGAGAGAGATTACAGACAGGGTGACAGGCAAATAATCAAAAACACAGCTGGATTTGTCTCTTACAAATTCAAACTTTTGGTACCACTTTGCTTAAAGCAGTCATCATAACACACTATAGATACCTTCCAAATGCATTATAGTGGTCAGTATAAGCCATTATAATACATTACGAAGGTATTTATAGTGCAATATAAATGAGACCTTCATAGAGCATTCATAATGCATAATAAAATGGCTATAATATGTTGTGCTTTTTTTTAGATAGTTATGGCCATATTTATAATACTTTATGAACGCCTTGTAATGCATTATGAAGGTATCTATAATGCATTATAAATGAGTGCTTTAAGTAAAGCATTACCAAACTTGTGATGGTTTGATGGCCCAAAAAGAACATTCCTTTAACTCCTCTCTCTCCTCTGTGTGCCACCGATACCCCCATCTCACACCCAGATGGTTAGGCTTAGGGTTAGGGTTAGGGTTAGGCTTAGGGCGAAACCCCCCATGCGGCAGAGCCGATGCTGTAAAATGCGCCGTCTGCCTGAATCCCGCCTTGCAGCCCTGGCGGTTCAGTTAGTGTAACTGTCCTGCACAAATTTGCCCTACATTTAAATTTATAATTGTGCTTAATTTTCATCCCTTTTTTAGCCCAAATCAGGTCAGTCATTAATAGGTAGTCGGGATGCGTGCAGCGAATGTGGCTTAAAGTGCGCTGATTCTCTCTCGACTGGTGGCCTTGGAGGGTGACGGCTGCATGCAGAAAGGAGCGGTTTGTGAGCCCTTAATTTGGAGGGTGTTGGCCACACAGGGAAAAGGCCGGTCTATGTGTCCTTCATTTGGTAGGTGTTACCTGCACGGGCAAAGGGCCGGTCTATGTGTCCTTCATTTGGTAGGTGTTAGCTGCACGGGCAAAGGGCCGGTCTGTGTGTCCTTCATTTGGTAGGTGTTAGCTGCACGGGCAAAGGGCCGGTCTGTGTGCCCATGCTGCTCCCCCTTTGCTGATGTGTGCCACGCCTGGCTTAATGAGGAGCATACAGATGCAGCAAGGCCCCTGGGGCCACAGTGGCTGTTTACTTGGGGGGGGTGCTCAGTAGGTGTGGGACAGGCCGGGGGGCCCATGAACCTGCCCTTTGAGAGCCACACTGCGGCATTTGTCAGCCGGCTTAGCGGCCTTTCATGGGCTGCACAGAGCGTGGATTCATCACGAGCCCGGCGCTGAATGAAGGGGCCGCTGTGTCTGTGGCAGTGCCCCCACCCAGCCACCCCCAGCCCCTGCTCCCTTGCGGTCGCCCAGACCAGACGGCCCGCCCCCCCTTCCTGTGTGTGGCGAGCTGGAGTCACTGTGCTCCACCTTTCCTTCCTGTCCTCGCCCTCCCTTAAAGGGGAGGGGTACCTCCAGGGAACCTCGTGATAAAGCCCCCCCTCAGGAGGACAGAGCCAGGTCCATCCCGGCTGAGCTGCGTACTTGGCTGTCCCTGGGTTATGGTCACGGGTGCCTGACCCAATAGGGGGCATCAGCTCTGCTTCCTTGGACCTCAGTTTGTGCCAGGGGGCTGCAGTGTTAGTATCTATGTCCTCAGTAGAATCATCTCAGATCATCATGGGTAAATTAAGGCATTTGCTTTTATTTTTTATTTACAAATATTATTTACAAATAGTTAGAGGAAAATAGTGGTTAAGGACAAAGACTTCTAGCTGTTGTACATATTAACCATAATATGAATAAATGTTTTCTTGGATAAAAGTCTTAATCACCTTAATAATAAATCATCCATCCATCCATCCAGCTACAAATCCTGTACGGGGTCATGTGGTGATCTCGCACCAAAATAAAATATCTTTTGCTTTGACGTTATCTGTTAGCTTGTTTGTTAGGCCGTGTATGTGCTGATTAACGGCGGCGGCGGCCCTGTGCCCTGCAGCTGATCAGCACCATGAGCTCGCTGGCGGAGTACTGCCTGCCTTCCATGCTGCGCACTCTGTTCGACTGGTACAAGCGGCAGAACGGGATGGAGGACGAGTCGCACGAGTACAGGCCCCGCGCCAACACCAAGTCCAAAAAGTGAGACCTGCTCTGCTTTTCAGAATTATTATTATTATTATTATTATTATTATTATATTTATATGACTGCTTATCCCATTTTGGGTTGCCTGAATCAGCCTGGAACTCCCCAGAGGGCATCAGTCACAAGGCTGGGGACACTACATGTTTTTAAACAATGACACAGTTATACCCAACCAAACACGCCTTATTTAGACTAATTTGGAGGTCTTGCCCACTTCCCTGTTTGCTCCCCTGTTTAGAGGCAGTAGTGCAGCACAGTACTAAGTCAGACAAGGCGGTCTGTAAGAGTTCACGGCTCCTCCTGATATACTGCCCTCATTCTTCTTTGCTGACTGCCCAGCGGTTTACGATGGCCCCTCCATTAATAGTACTCCCCAAGTAGAAAAATGAAAGGGCTGATGATCCTCCATCTTTGTGACATGGGTCATATCCATCCACCTCATCCTGTCATTCAGAAAGAGGTCACCATAGTTAATGACCTTGGCAAGCAAGTGTCCTGGCCTCTCCTAGTGACTGTACTGTACGTCTCCTCGTACAATAAGGGTGCAGTAACATTAATGCTGTTGCGTGTCCATGCAGCAGAACAGGTTGGGGGGGGGGGGCATAGAGTACTGTAATCCATTAATTGCGCTGGTGGAAGTGATGTTAGAAAAAGTCTAACCTCCCCAGCCCAATGAGGTGCAGCCTTGAGCCTTGAGCCGTATCTCGATCGTGTGAGCAGTGTCATTGATTAATAACATCAAGGCTGCTTGTGTTTAGATCCTGTGTGCACAATAAACTTGGGTTTCAGGGAGGATGAAGAGTAACTCGCTCAGGCACACAACCTCAGTAAAGCTGTTTTTAACCTAATTTATTAACCCAGTAATATTGCGATTTCAAGATCAAGATGTGTCAAATCTAGCTTCATGATGTATGTACCGGATAAATGCAGGTCTTTCTTATGACATATTTCTGTGTGTAGAAATAAAAAGTTAATAAAAAACACCAAATTGTCCACAATAGCAGTGGGGATGCAGATATCTCATGGCTATAGGATTCTGCCGTTCTCTTGTAGTGATGAGCAGCAGAAGGATTTCCTACTTGAAAGGAGGGATCTGGCCATTGACTTCATCTTTTCCCTGGTTCTTATTGAAGTTTTAAAGCAGGTAACCTTCTGAGCCGTCAACCTGGACAGGAATTGGCTTTCTGTCCTGTCAGTCATTTTTTTCAGAAATGTAAACATCCTGTCATGATGTTTTGATTTTTTATTAAAAATCTGTCTCCTGCTCTGTCTTCATAAACAGATCCCTCTTCATCCAGTTCTGGACAGTTTGATTCTGGAGGTTATTAACCTGGCGTTCAAGCACTTTAAATACAAAGAAGGGTGAGGATTTCACTCTTTCTGGCAACTTTTCAGCCTGACTTTTAGAAGAGAAACTAACTTGCTTTTCTTTCACAGATACCATGGCCCCAGTGTGGTCAACATGCACATTGTGGCTGACCTCTACGCTGAAGTCATAGGAGTCTTAGCCCAGTCTAGGTGAGTCTAAGCAGGAGGGGTGTACATCAAACTGCTTCGTCACCTACCAAGCAGTTGCGTTATGTTGTTGTAAATCTCTGATTTAATGTAAAATTCATTATTGCTTTCATGTGTGACCTGTGAAGTGCAATTTGACACAGCGGACATGTGACTGTAGATACTGCAGTTTTGAATCACAGACTGGCATCTCAGTATGACACTCTCCTGTCCTGTGATAAAATAGAAGCTTACACAGATTCCTGTCCGCTGATGACGCAAGGGAATGAGTTTGTTTTTCCGTACATGTTTATCCTATACGGCAAGCCCTGTAACAATGCATTATATAATAATGCCACATTATGCAACGACTCAAAAGAATGTAATAAACTGAATGATCTTAATAATAACAAAGATAATGATTATGATAATAATAATAAGAATAGGGTAATGCTGCAATATAAAATTGTATTGTAGTCTATAAATTAAACATTTTGTCGGGTTATTACATAATGTGGTGCTGTTCCACAGTGTGTAACGACGCATTATGTAATAACATCACATGTTGAAAATGTTGAAAATTTGTTATATTTTGTCGAGTTACCAAGTCCTGCGAGCCCTAAGCCACAAAGGCTCAGTGACATCTTGGGGCTTATTGCCTCGTTACTGGGCTGTCCCTGGTTTTCGCCTGTTTTATTCGCTCCGTTGAGTGAGACGGAAATCCGCAGTAGTTCAAAGCATGGGTCCCCAAAGGCCGAGTGTCTGTGATGAGAGGACAGGGAGGAGAAAGGTGCTTTCAGCAAAGCCCTGTCCGATTTCAGAGACATCAGCTGTCAGGAAACATGAAAGGTCACATCTCTCCTATTCGGGATAATATACTGGTACAGTCCTTCAGAAAGGCACCACAGCGTCTATTGGAGAAAACTGTATCTATTTGTTTGACTGGCTCTTTTGTTCAAAGTGACTTTGCATAAAATGACAGACAAAGAGTGTCAGTACAGACCTGTGTGTAGGGGCTGGAACTGAGACACAACAGAGTGTAAACCAAAAGACACTTGTCTGGGGGGTAGAGCTTCCCATACTAGGTCTGGAAATTGGTGTCTGTTTATCAGGGAGGGCCTGTACTCCACATCACTCCAGCAGCGAACAAATCCTTAAAATAGAGAGCAGCAAAGCATGCCTACATTCCAAACCAGTATCTGTTTTATTCTTCATAAAGTGAGCTGGAACCTGTAATAGGGGAACATGGTTATTTTTCTAACTGTAGTTCCAGAATTAGTCTTTGAATTATGTACCAATCAAATGCATTTATGAAGTTCGATATTTTTACGTTATTATGTTTGCATTTGTATACATGTGTGTTTGGATACGTGTGGCCACAGGCCTGGTCATGCCGGTGGCCAACTATAAAACATCCCTGTGTGCTAAATGGGTTGTTTGTTTTCTGGTGTGGCTTGATGACCGTGGCTGGCTCAACTGTATGGTCCCATCCACCCCAGCATTCTCACCATCGTTCAAATATTCAGGTTTACAATCCACTCCAGTATTGGCCTCCCCCACTTAAAGAGTGTTAATTCCTCTCTCCCCGCTATGTGCATGCACTGGCCGACTGCGCTAATCATATCCGCCGCTGCAGGTTCCCCGCCGTGAAGAAGAAGTTCATGGCAGAGCTGAAAGAGCTCCGGCAGAAGGAGCAGAGCCCTGCCGTGGTTCAGAGCACCGTCAGCCTCATCATGGGCGTCAAGTTCTTCCGCATCAAGATGTACCCCGTGGAGGACTTCGAGGCCTCCTTCCAGTTCATGCAGGTGAAGCTCTCTGCCCTGAACATCTAGTCTCACAGTAACGGCAGGCATCTGATTTTGCATGGGACCTAATCGAGTCAGCTCCATTACTGTCAAGCCTCATCTTCGCCGTATTAGATAAAGGAGAGATTTGAATGTTTTCTAAACCACGATTTTAGATAAAAACATGAACTTAATTATTTGTATGGCGACACGTGAAAAGAAATGTACCTTAGGTACAAATGTAATAGTGTTTTTTTTTTTTTTAAGTAATTTAATAGGTAATGTGTCTTTAGGAATAACAGGCCTAAGAGGGGTTTGTGGTATTAAAAAGCATTAGATATACTTTCTGTATTGGCCAGACCCCTCACCATAACTTCCAAATGTAATCTAATGGAGGGCAGGGAAGATACGCGAGGCTTGTCAGCAGCCGTGCAAGCTGTTCATGGCCGTCCCGTAGCTCTGCACTCTCTGTCCTCTTCCCCTCGTCGGCATCATTCAGCCTCTAGATGGGGACTGATAGGATGTCTGACTGTAATACAAACTGTGCTCTGCTTCTGTGTGCTGTTCCTCTGCAGGAGTGTGCTCAGTACTTCCTGGAAGTAAAGGACAAAGACATCAAGCACTCCTTAGCTGGCCTCTTCGTGGAAATTTTAGTTCCCGTGGCAGCGGTGAGTCATTATCAGCGGACTGCCTGTCTGAACCAAACAGAGTAAGATTCACTGAAACATCAGACCCAGCAGCTTTACCGTTTCTGAAAAAGACGGTTTGCTTCCAGGCTGTGAAAAACGAGGTGAATGTACCCTGTCTGAGGAACTTTGTGGAGACCCTCTATGACATCACTCTGGACCTGTCAACCAGGAAGAAGCACTCACTGGTGAGTCGCTTTCCTCGGGCGCCGATCAAGGCTGACCCGAGGTCCCCAAGGCTGACCATGTGTGACAGTTCCGAAGGTTTCCAGGTGGCTTTGGAACGGAGAACATCTCCACACAGTTGGCCATGTGACAGAGTGAAAGCATTATGCATGACAAATAGATAAAGCAGAAGAGATTGTGATCATCTTCTATAACATCAGTATCAGTGTAGTGATGAAGTGTAGAAATAATTAGTGATAAAATTCAAGTACTTCCTCATGACATGACCTTTCAGTCACACCTCCAGGTATACGTTACCGACCTGCCGGGAGACCTATGCTTGAAATACATCTAATACAAATACACACATGTAATACAATAATATTACAATAATATTATAATGAAATAAAATGGGTATTTTGTAAAACCCATCATTTTAAGCTGCAGGTGTCACCATTAAGTGTTTCTAAGCCCTTTTGACCCTGCAAACCCCCCCCACACAGGCCCTGTACCCTCTGGTGACCTGCCTGCTATGTGTCAGCCAGAAGCAGCTCTTCCTCAGTCGGTGGCACGTCTTCCTCAACAACTGCCTCTCCAACCTGAAGGTAAGCGACGCCACGTGACCCCTGTGCTGCCCCTGCAGGGACACGGGAGGGTTTTGGCGCGTGTGGCAGCTGCAGATGATTTGCCCGCAAACTTAAGTGGCCACTATTGAATAATTAATGGCAGTAATAACTCTGGTTATTATTGAACAACGGGGTGTGGGAGAGATGACTGATATCATGGTCAGGAGCCTTTGTTTTGCAACAAAAGGGCAGGGGGCAGAGATGATTATCTGATGCAGGTACAGGAGAGTATTTTCCCCTTGTTCAGTCCCCACTATCAATTTCAAACTGCTGCGCCTTGATAAACTTATGCTCTTGGCTTCGCTCTGTCCCCTGGACGACACACAAGCACGTCTGTCAAGTGAATCCCTGAATCAAAGAACCCCCCCCCCCCCTGTCCTCCTGCCTGCCTCATCACTTAGCGTGAGGAGAGAAGCTACCATGGCAATCTGCTGAATGACATCACAATCCGCTGAGTTTCTAGCAGACGGTTTAAAAGGAGGGAAAAACCATGTAAACCAATAGCACAGGGAATGAGTCAGCTGAAGGGTAGGACCATAGGTGCCAGGCTTTGTGGAGCTGTGTAGGGGGTGGAATACTTCCTGGGAGAAATCTTATAGACATTAAAATGATTTTTAGTAGTGTTAGTATTAGTAGTGATACGGTAACAGTATAACATAACCTGTATAGCCTTTGTTGCATATCTCTTTATCAGATAAACTCTGGGAAACATGCTCTCTGATTCTTTGTAATTATCAGGCCAAATGGTATAAGTGATCATAGTTGTCAATGTGTTTTCTAACCTCAGGTTACAGAATAATTTTTCTTTCAAGGAAAAGACGATATCGTGTTCCTCACTTGTTGTTATTACGGTAGATTGCCATTGCCATTATGGTTAATGACGAGAGGTTTGCGTTGCAGAATAAGGACCCCAAAATGGCCCGGGTGGCTCTGGAATCGCTGTACCGCCTCCTCTGGGTTTACATGATCCGAATCAAATGTGAGAGCAACACAGCGACCCAGAGGTAATCGCCGTATCTCTCGAGTCACTGCAGATGATCGTGTTGCTCATTCTACAGCTACTAGGAGGCTTACAAAACTATGACACACCCCAACCACTCCCCCCTCAACACACACACCCAGAGACCACTGTGGGGCCTAGCCAAGAGCAAGCTTTCAAAGTTAGTCAGGTCAAAAGATGTTTCTGTTTCAAAACTACTAGTCCATGAATGTACTTCTCCTTAATACAAATGGAGAGTATGCAAATAAATAAAGAAACAAGCAAAAGTTCAAATTCCCAGCTTCATCTCCAGAATTTAATATCCAGTTTCACTTGATCTCACGTCTGAGGTTCATTGACTTATATGGAGGTGAGGCCTCCTGAAATCAGGATAGAAACAACACATAGTTGCCCCTGATAGCTGCATTGCGGGGGGCAGAGAGGGAAGGACCTAGATGAGACAGAAAGGCCTGGAAGAAGACTTCTGAGCCACTGGGAGCTGGCAGTGGGCCAGGTTGCCAGTGTAACATAGCTGGAAAAGAGCCTTGATATCATTGTGAGTGAGTATGTTTGCTTTGTCTTAAGTCACTCTCACCGATATGTAGTGACATCACCTCCTACCGTATATGCAAGTCGATCTTTTTAAAAAGGTGCTTCTCTTTCCTGACATTCCCCTCATTTTCGTCGGGAACGATGAGCTTCTCTCGTACCCGGTTCATGTTATGGCTTGTATCATCACCTGTGTCCCCTCTGTTCCACAGCCGACTCAACACCATCATCTCAAACCTGTTCCCCAAGGGGTCCCGTAGCGTGGTTCCTAGGGACATGCCGCTCAACATCTTCGTCAAGATCATCCAGTTTATTGCACAGGTGCTTCTAAAACATCCATCCAGCAGCCATATACCTGACACATGGTTTATTCTTCCAGAAATCTCTTTGTCTCTCTCACACGCACACTAATAGTACAGTATTTACAAACAACTCCTATACTTAAAGGACAAACATATATACAATGCCTAACCACTATTCCAAAATAGCTACTCAGCAATTGTTCTCAGTAACACAAACACAGCTATCAACTACCTCAGTTTGTCATTTGATATGCAGGTAACAGTTTTTTTCCCCTCTCAAAACAGGAAAGACTTGACTATGCCATGAAAGAGATCATCTTTGACCTACTTTGTGTTGGCAAACCAATGAAAGCTTTCAACCTTAACCCAGAGGTAAATAAATATCACTTCATTTTTGGAATATAATTATCGAGGTTTGACTGAATGACAAGAGGATTTGTTCTCCTTGGAAATTTGCTTAAAGTCTAGTGTTAAGCATATAGCAAAAATTATTAGTAACACTTTCTATGAATGCCATGTCTATAAGAATATTTGAACACATTCATTCATAACACATTATAATGCATTCATAAAGCATTATAAGCATAGCTATAAATATTTAGAAAAATGCATAATACATTATAGCGATGTGTACAATGCATTATGAATTTATCTATAGTGCATTATACATGAGAGCTTCATTGGAGCTTATGAAGTATTATAATCAACACTTTAATGCCTTACACCTGTCAATAAAAGATGCTGCAATGCTTTATTAATTCTTATATCGACCGTTATAATGCATTATGAAGGTAGCTGTAATGCATTATAGATCACAGCTTTAGGTAAAGTGCTGCTGTATGTTCCATGGTAAAATAAACCAAAGTGAGATAGTCTGAATGTGTTACAGTAGAAAAGCAAACTTGCAGTGACAGACAGGGATCTTGGTAGCAGCAGTAGTCTGACTAACATCCTTTTGTTGTCCCATCAGAGGATGAACATTGGCCTCAGAGCATTCCTGGTTATTGCCGACAACTTGCAGCAGAAGGATGGAGAGCCCCCCATGCCGAACACCGGGGCCACACTGCCCTCAGGAAATACACTCAGGGTGAAGAAGACCTATCTGAGTAAGACCCTGACTGAGGAAGAAGCCAAACTCATCGGTAAATGACTGTCATCTCCTGCGCTGTCCGAACACTGCAGAGTTTTACCTCCATTCCTTCGTTGACAGATGCACCTCTATCCGCTTGTCGCTCCCCTTCATGGTGCTTGCCTCTGTTTGGCACTCCACAGGCATGGCCATGTACTATTCGCAGGTGCGCAAGGCCATCGACAGCATCCTGCGGCACCTCGACAAGGAGGTGGGCAGGTGCATGATGCTGACCAACGTGCAGATGTTGAACAAGGAGCCGGAGGACATGATCACGTAGGTCTCACCCTCGTTCAGTGGTTTCTGTCCATGTTCATGACCAGTGCATCCTATCGGTCCATGGTCAGATAGTTGAACTGGGTAATATTGTAAGCAAATGGGGTTTTCAGCCTGGGTTTTTGAGTTTAAATTCTGGTCATGTCCTTTCATTCCCACCATCCAATGGCATTGGTTTCCTGGTAATGGTCTCTGTAGTGAAGGCCATTGTAAAATTCTTGGTGTAATGAAGGTTGCTTGGGACCTCTAAAAATTGCCCAGAAGTGACCTTGTGGCTTCTTCTCTTCTCTGTCAGAGGGGAACGGAAGCCAAAGATCGATCTCTTCAGGACGTGTGTCGCTGCGATCCCTCGTATCCTACCCGACGGCATGTCCAAGCTGGAGCTCATTGACCTGCTGGCTCGGTGAGCATGTGTGGTGTCATGCTGCAGTTGGCTCAGAAATCCGATTCGTGCGGGATTGTACAAATAAATCAGCACTAGCTTGTCGTAAAAACAGATTAAAACCTGATGTGTGTTTTTCTGTGCGTGTCCCAGGCTGACAGTCCATATGGACGACGAGCTGCGGCTTATTGCCCAGAACTCCCTGCAAAGCCTGCTGCTGGACTTCCCGGACTGGCGGGAGGATGTTCTGTTCGGCTTCACCAGCTTTGTGCTCCGGGAAGTGCAGGATACCCACCAAGGCCTACTGGACTCATCCCTCAAGCTGCTTCTGCAGCTGTTGACGCAGTGGAGGATGGCACTGCAGACACCCAGCAAGGCCCACGAGGCGGCCAGGGCCCGTTCTTCTGAGGTTGGGGGAAATGCTATTTTTCTCTAGGTTCCAAGCACTTATTCTGTACCTGTGGGTTGCCAAGATTTACCTGAAGGATGAGGTACCATATGGCTCAATTATTATTACATGGTTGACATTCTTGGTGACTGTATAAGAATACATTTTCCAAGAAAGTATGTGAAATGGACTCTGGTGGCCGAGGATCTTCTTATGATCTTGTATGTACTTCTTCACCATTCTGTGCATAAAAAGTGATGCATTTAATGTTTCACTGCTGTCTGTGATGTTGGTGCTATCAGTAGCAGGATCTGTGTGTCTCATCCCAGGATGCCACTGTATCTTACAGCTGCTGCAGTCGGGCCCCTCCAGTCAGGGCCCCCATGGTCTGGTCCTGCATGCTGTGGAAGGCCTGGCCCTTGTGCTGCTCTGCTCCTGTCAGACGGGCACCCGGAAGCTGGCCGTCACCATCCTCAAGGAGATCCGCTGCCTCTTCGCGACCATCGGACAGGCGGAAGTGAGTTAGGGCCCGTGAGTCCGGGTGAAGGGGCCAGAGCATTCTAGATCCCATAACCTGTGTGTCTGGTCTTATTTTTGTAATCAAGGACGATGACAAGCCCATGATTGAGGTCTTGGATCAGCTGAGCTCAGCGGCTTTGGAGAGCTTCGTCCACGTGACCGTGTCCGACTCGGTGAGCAGTGCTCTGGGACATTACTTTCGGTCATTGGAACACAAGGGAGGAGAACAGAATAAGAGTTAGACATTGATGGTCTGCTGAATTTATAGCTCATCTCTGTATCATGAGTGCCCATAAATGTCAAGATATTGCTCCTCACAGCGATTTTGCTACATAATGTTGTAATTTGCACACTGAAACTCAGAGGCTGGCAGGCTGTCAGGTCATTAATTGTTTCTGGTTACTAACGAGGCCCCTGTTCATGCCATTAATTAAGCTTGCTATCTTGCATCGATCGAGTGGTGGGGGGAGGGGGTTTCCACCCATCATAATGCTGCACCCAGTGGTCTGAGGCGTCATGGTTACATAAAACCGCTTTGCTGGTGTGGCAGAGCAACACAGGAGTGATGCGGTGTGAGTCACTAATTACAGGATTGCTACTTTATAGCCTTTTTTTAAAGAGACGTATATAGTTTATTATTTGAGTGACAAGGTGAAATTCTGGATGTTTTGCATGTGTTTTGATGTACATTTGATCCCGCTTAGGGGAAGCCCTAAATGATGTTATAAGACATCCTATCTGAGGTGTCCCCTGCCTCAAGCCCAGTGCTTCCTGGGACAGACTTGTGGCTCACAATGGCACTGTACTGGGATAAATGGTCATGGAAAAACTCTCTACATGCTGCTATTTTGTTCTGTTCCTTACATGTGAAACTCTGAGTCACTATGACTCAAAGAGTGACTCCTGATTGTGAATGTTCTGAAGGCCAACTTGATGCTGGGCCACCAAGTGGACCTCCTGGGGCTGGTGGAGTGGAACGCCGTGCTGGTGAACAGCCCGTACGACGTGCGCAGCCCCTCGCACGTGTGGATCTTCGCCCAGTCGGTGAAGGACCCCTGGGTGCTGTGCCTGTACAGCTTCCTGCGCCAGGACGGCCTGCCCAAGCACTGCCCCACGGCGCTCAGCTACGCCTGGCCCTACGCCTTCACACGCCTGCAGCTGCTCATGCCCCAGGTGGACCCCACGTGAGTCCCTCACACCTCCGTGTTTTTCAATGAGCACCAGTAACTGAAGCAGATGTTCCGTCTTTGGCTTCCTTTAGAATATTCACCATTTTCTCCACAGTATCTTCATTTCCTCCTAATTCTTATACTCAATCTGTACAGGTGGGCCTTCGCTATTGTTTTGCTTTCTTACTGCTTCTCGAATTTTGCAGAAACCCTCTTTATGCCAAGAAAACAAGCTCAGCAAGTGGAGGGGACAACCTGGTGACCTTGTGGAGGAACTATCTTATCCTCTGCCTGGGCGTGGCCAAGCCCAGCATCATGAGTCCAGGACACCTGCGGGCGTCCATGCCTGAGATCACGGCCATCACACCCGACGGCAATGTCGGCTGTGACACCAAGGTCTGTCCCCAACCCAGTGCCTTTCATCCTTCTCATGGCTGTCACACGTCTGGCATTATTCTAGGTCACATGATAAAATCAGCTTCTTGTTTCATGCTATGAGCTTACTTTCCTCTGACACGTACGGCCTAGTAGTTGGCGGTTTCGCAGGAATGCTCTGGCTGCAACTCAGTTTCCTGACAAGAGCTTGTTAGTCTTGGTCATCGTGCTTATACAGACTGGACCGAGTAAGCGGACCGCTGTGCGTTTGTGTGTGTTGCTCTGTCGAACAGGTGATCGGCATGCCCTCTGTGGCCTGCTTGCTGAAGCAGCTGGTCCTGCTGATGAGGGCAGAGAGCATCGAGGTCACCGAGTCACTGGTGCTGGGCTTGGGACGCACCAATACTCTGGTGTTCAGGTACTGTAAGCGACAGAGATGGGAGGGGCCATATGTCGCATGACACGATGCCAGTGCAGGGTTTCACACAGGGAAAAAGAACATTATGGGGGGGAAAAACATCCCACATTCCAGTCACATCTGAGGTAACCGCATTCAGATACGTACTGAACAAACATCACATTAATCCAACGTCACACCAGAACCAGCGCTGACATGTGAGTGAAGGTCACTGATGTTCTGCTGGAGTGCTTAATTAGATCTGCCACTCATTTTCCATTCCATTTGCTAGGATTAAGACCTAAAGACATAAGTGCTTGATCCGTGATTATTTTTGTACGGAGCATTTCAGTACTTTTCACGTGGCCTTGTTTCTTTTTAATGACCTCTCTATTAATAATGAAATTCTAAAAATTCATTTCAGTTGTTCAGTCAACCAATGCATTTCATAAAATTGTTTACATATTTCTGTCTAAATCATTGTTTTTATAGTTCTTCTGCATATATCCTGTTTTGTTTCACAATTCTCTCAATCACCTCTGTCTCTATCTCCCTCCTTCTGTCTCTCTCTTTCTCTCTCTCACATTCTCTGTCTCTCTCTCTCTATCTTTCTGTCTCTGTCACTCTGTCTCTCTTTCTATCTGTCTCTAGGGAGCTTATAGAGGAACTCCATCCCTTAATGAAGGAAGCTTTGGAACGAAGACCGGAGGTAAATCAGCCTTTTCCTCCTCCAATCATTGTCGTGTTTCCTCATTTTGAGATTCATGATTAACTGGGGCGGCATTCATCTGTGGGGCCATATTTAGCATCAGGGCAGGACCGTAAGCCTGCATGTAGTCGATATCGTGTTACAGTGTAGGACATGGCTGAAGGGAGACTGTGTGCTTGTCATGTCAGCTCCATGTTATGCCTGCTCACAGAGGCAAGCGCCTTGATTTGTGACTTTCCCAGAAGGGCGGGGAATGTGGAGATGAGAAGGATTAGTCAGTGTAACTGACTGTGTTTTGACGGCAGGGCACTCCTGTTCTGATTCACACTCTCTGACCAATCGCAGTTTGCAGGAAACCTTCAGTCTGGGCATTTTGTAATTCAGATATTGCAGCAACACTGGCAGCATGACACACATAGAGTCCAGTAGATAAAAGATAATTTGTGACAAAATAACAAAAATCATGGCGCCTCTTCGGTTCAGTGGAAGTTGAACTTGTTCTTGCGAGAGAAGATCCCTGATCTCGGTTCGTCCCCGAGGGGAGCATATTTGCATCATGCTCTTATGACGGTCTTGGCAGACTTGGGGCAGCCCTAAAGTGTGGCAGCTGTTTCTCTGATTCCAGAACAAGAAACGCCGCGAGAGGCGAGATCTGCTGCGGCTGCAGCTTCTGAGGATTTTCGAGCTGCTGGCCGACGCTGGTGTCATAAGTGACAGGTGGGCGCTGACTTGGACCCCTCAGCGAAAGCATCCTTCTGCATCCCATGCATACTCACACGCTCTGCCATCCAGCTGGCCTCTGCCCTGGCCCGGCGCCCATCCTCTGAGCAGCGGGACACTCATTCACACACCTTTCTCATTCTTTCCCTTTCCCAGCACCAACGGGGCCCTGGAGCGAGACAGCCTGGCCCTGGGGGCCCTCTTTCTGGAGTATGTCGATCTCACCCGCATGCTGCTGGAGGCCGAGAATGACAAAGACATGGACGTCCTCAAGGACATCCGGGCTCACTTCAGTGCCATGGTGGCGAACCTCATCCAGTGTGTCCCCGGTAACTGAGGCTGGGGGGGGGCACCATTCCTGAGCAACATTTCTGCATCATGGCCCTGGCTGTTATAGACATCCATTAGTTTGGCAGCTTTAAGCTAACAGTGCTGAGGGGTTTCGGCTCCATTAAGCTGCAGTGTCGTACTAGAAAGGTTCCTGGATCATGGGCCAAGAAATAAGCTCCTCTGCTCATGTTACCAGACAATCCTACTTAACCTCCCCAGAGCAAGAAAAGAAGAGAAATACGCCCTCCAAGCATTGCAGTGATGCAGAATTTTCCTACTTTTAGCGATCTGTAACTCATACTTACAAAGATCCAAGTTTAACTGCAGCCAAAGCCAGGAGCGATTCGCTGGGCTCTTGATCTCTATTAGGCAGTTTCCCAGGAGACTTCGAGCCAGGAGACAGAGAAGCCTTAGTGCAAAAAAAAAGAAAAGTAAGAGTAGATAATTGCTCACCGTGAGCTACGCAAGGGCTATTTCTGGACTTCCCTTTCTGAATAAATGAACAATGACTTAACAAGCTATTAAGTAAAGGCCAGGCTAAGAAGTATCTCTGTTAGAAAACACAGTTTGGTTGCCAGGGGTCAACAGTTGATTGAAAATGGACATGTAGGTGGCGCAACTTTCTGACCTGCTGTTCTGCTTCACTGCCCCTCCACCCACTTCTTCCCCACGCCCCCCATGTTAGTCCACCACCGGCGCTTCCTGTTCCCCCAGCAGAGTCTGAGGCATCACCTCTTCATCCTCTTCAGCCAATGGGCGGGGCCCTTCAGCGTCATGTTCACCCCGTTGGATCGTTACAGCGACCGGAACCACCAGATAACTCGATACCAGTACAGCGCCCTCAAGGTATTCCCAACCCCTACATTCACTTTCTCTGAGCATTTACTCGCTCACACCGAATAGTTGAGTGTGATCCATAGAGTTCCATAAAGTTCTTCCTAGTTCTGCGATTGACTACTGGTGCAGTATAATGTAATGGTACAACATAATGGATGTGAAGAACGAGAAATAGGATATTCTGCTGACTAAGCACATTGTTTGCTGAGCGCGGTTGGAAGGCAGGGAACACCTTTGACATGACCTTAGCGTTGTTTGTCACTGGCCGCAAATGAGCTGTCAGCTGCAAAAGGTGAGAGTGGGTGGAAAATTCCAGCGATCACGTCACTCACCTTGTTGGCCGCGCTGGCTTTGAAACCCTATCGGCATATCGCCGGCCGGTAGCTTGAGACGCCTTCGCAGATCCCAACAATAGGGCAGCTCTTCAAATGGCTTATGTGTGGGTGTCATTCCTTTTGTGGAAAGCATGTAATTTCAGTCAGCTGTAATGCGACAAAAATCATAAGGCACGGCAAAAAATGGCCCAGGGGGATCTATCCAACACTGCATGTTTGTTCACGGGGGAGGGGAGGATAGTGTCATGTCTTCCCTTTCAACACACATCCGAATGCCAAGTCCTGGTCATGATCTGATCATCAATGATAAGCCCAGGAAGCAGCATTTGACAGCCCCAGGAAAAAGTCAGCAAGCCAACCAGGCCTGTTTTTCTTTTGTCTGACTTTCGATCTTGTTCTCAGGCAATGTCAGCTGTCCTGTGCTGCGGACCTGTGTTCGACAATGTCGGTCTCTCTCCAGATGGCTACCTGTACAAGTGGCTGGATAATATCTTGGCCTGCCAGGACCTGAGGGTAAGTGGGCAGAGCTGCTGAACAAGAAACAAAACCTCATCCCAAAAGTGAGAATCTTTGTGTTTGGGACGCCAATACTCTGTAAATGACCTCATTCAGAATCTGCCTCATCGCCTGTCATAACGGTGTCTTTCTGTCTAACCCTTAGCCATCCTTCTGGACACTGCTGCAGTCTTGCAAATGTTTACATTTCAGTGTGTAAGAATCTGACAACCAGCTGTAGTGCCCAATAAGTGTTGTGTGTCATGTCTTGCTGCAGCTGGGATTTTATCAACAGTGGGATAGGGACTTGCGTCAAGATGACTTGCATGAGGTGTCGATGTGTTAGACTGCAGACTCTGGGAATTTCTGCCGCCATGCCATTGTGATACTTGTCTAAATGTAGCCTGGAAATTCTCTGGTTTAGATTAATGTCCCTCAAGAGCAGGTTGTTTACATGAGAGCTGATTCACTATAAGTCCTCTTGTGTCGCTCAGGAAAATTATCCTGATTGCCAGGTAAAAAGCGCTGTTTAATTATGAGAAGTGAGAAGGCTATGCGTGCTGTAAACTCTACACGAAGGGACTGTCCATGAGCTCCGTAGCTTGCACGACACCTGCTGATGTCATTCTGTTGTTCTGTCATGTGATGCAGGTCCACCAATTAGGCTGTGAAGTGGTTATCTTACTGTTAGAGCTCAACCCAGACCAAGCAAACCTTTTCAATTGGGCCGTGGACCGCTGCTTCACCGGGTCCTACCATCTGGCCTCTGGCTGCTTCAAGGCCATTGCCACTGTTTGTGGGAGCAGGTATGGTTCTCTTTGGGTCTCCCCAACACATATACTTTGATTTTCATTAATCATAATTAAAGAGCATATCTCTAAAACTCACTCATTACAAAGGATACACTTTTACATAGGATACACTTTTGTATAAAATTCAGTGAAATTTAAGGTTCTTCGTTGGATTACATGAGGATTGAATTTTGGTTCCCAGTATTGTAACATATGATGAGGAAACCTGACTTTAGGTTATCTCACCTCAAAAACAACAAATGGATGGCTGCGTTTCAGAAATTTGCTCTTCATTTAAGAGTTTAGCTAGTTTAATCCTCCATTTTTATCTAATATATACTTTTTATGATAAATTTTGTCTTACACATCCAGTAACATCTAATAAGTCTGAGCATTAAAAAACACATCAGATCTGAGGTTTTTTCATAAGAATTATCTGTGAGGGTTAAAAGCAGCAGTTCTAGACACAGTTTGTCTGATGTCCCAGCAAACAACATTCATTTCAGACCAAGCTTCCAAAAATGGAGATGAGGATTAATGTACCGACACGAGGCTTGGATTCCCATTGTCATACATCTCCTTCATTGTTGTGCTTTTCTGCCAGCACCTTTAATTAAGCTGCTGAAGCATGAAGTCACGCGCACCTATTGTAAGCGACTAAATGCCTGCACGCTGACACGCTCGCCGGTGTGGCATGCAGTCCGACTTGTGTGCTGTTGTTGTTTGCAGAAATTACCCATGTGACCTGGTGACCCTGCTAAACCTGGTGCTTTTTAAGGCGTCGGACACCAACAGGGAGATCTATGAGATTTCCATGCAGCTAATGCAGGTAGATGTGTATAAACACACACACACACACACACACGCTCCTGAAGACACGTATACGCTGGTACACTGGTAAAAGTTGATTCTAAAGGGAAGATGCTTTTTTTATTGTATAGATTCTGGAAGCTAAACTGTCAGTGTACTCTAAGAGGCTCAAAGACCAGAAGTCCAGCAGCATCCTGTACGGTACCCATGGCCCCCTGGCTCCCCTCTACAGCATCTCCCTGTCCCAGCTCTCCAGCCAGCTGGCCAGAATGTACCCCCAGCTCACCTTGCCTCTTTTCTCAGGTAAGTGCCCATGCTTCCACAATGACATATTCTACCATGTATCCTCTGTAGCTCTAAGGGCAGATCACACTAGCACTGAAACTACATTCAAGACTAAAGGATTTGATGCACAGGATAACCTTTACTGTCCCATCTCATCTATGAGCTCCACAGTAGTCACCTACCAGTCACATGCTCATATGCCCCCTAATCACATAGCCTCACGCATGCTTGTTACCATGGTGACTGGGCACTGACTTTCCTCAAAGCTCGTAGAAAGTAATAACCAATATATCAAGCATGGCTTTAGCTGTCCTGCTCACAGAGACAGATGTGATCTCTAACCCTACAAGCCAGCTCCCAAAGTCATTGCAGCCTATTTTGTGGGCTTTTGTGACATCTAAAGACAGTTTAACGCCATTATATGGCGACCTGCTGCGATTCTGTCCCTCCCAAACTCAGAGGTCAGCCAGCGGTTTCCCACCACCCACCCCAACGGCCGCCAGATCATGCTCACCTATCTCCTACCGTGGCTGCACAACATCGAGCTGGTGGACAGTGGCCTGCTGCCCCAAGCCTCCCGGCCCTGCTCCCCCGAGGGGGGGGCAAGCAGCCGGCCTGGCAAGGAGGATCCCTCGCATCATTGGCTCAGGGGCAGCGGCTGGGGCTCCCTGCAGGCTACTTCGCTGGTGCTCAACAACCTGATGTTCATGACCGCCAAGGTGCGAGCCCTTCTAACTAATCTGTCTCAAAATGTTTGAGGAGTTTAACCTATGGCGATGACAGTATAACTTGATTCAAAATAATTTATTTTCTGCTCATTATAAGATCATGAATTATCTTATGATGACTTGCCCCCCCCCCCCGCCCCCCCCCCAGTACGGGGATGATATCCCGGGACCCGAGATGGAGAACGCCTGGAATGCACTGGTCAGCAACGACATGTGGGGAAGCAACCTGCGTACCGTGCTGCAGTTCCTGATCAGCCTGTGTGGCGTGAGCAGCGACACCCCTCTGCTGCCCTACGTGAGTCAGCCGGTGTGCGGCTCAGTGCGTCAGGGTGCTATGCCTGTGACCAGAAGGTCACCGGGTCAAATCCTGGGGATGTCACCATTGGGCCCCTGAGCGAGAACCTTAAGCCCCAGTCACTCCAGGGACTGTCTCCCCCTGCTCTCTCAGTTGATTTCCACTTTAGACAAATGCATCTGCCACATAAATGTGAATGTGGTGGAGTTGTTGGGGGTCACGGTTGGGGAAAGAACATCATAGCGGGTCGGTCCGAGATCCATGCACAGCACAAGTCTTTGCTTGCCGTTGGCCTGCAGATCAAGAAGGTGGTGGTTTACCTGTGTCGCAACAACACCATCCTCACCATGGAGGAGTTGGTGCTGGAGCTGCAGCAAACGGAACCAGTCAACCCCGTGGTGCTGCACTGTGACAACCCGCCCTTCTACCGCTTCGCGGCCAGCAACAAGTCCTCTGCTGCAGCGTCCGGTGAGCCTTACGGAGCATGCAGGGGCCATATGTTGCAACCTTTTCCCGTCATGCTGGCTTGTGGAGACCAGGTTTTAATCGTTAAAATGCATCTAGGTTCTACATCCAGCAATAACACGGTAGTGGTTGGCCAGGAGAGTTTTGTGGACGCGGATGAAATGAAAGTCACCAGAGAAAATGAGGACAAGTAAGTCAAATTTGCCCGATGCCTTTTTATCTATAAACTCTTCGAGGTGCCATTGCATGGGTATAATGATGTCGCATCTGCACACCCTTAACTCAGTGTCTTCCTGCGTGTGTGTGATCACAGGTTCAGCAATAAGATCCGCGTGTATAACCGCTTGGAGTCCCGCTACAGCAACAGCTCTGGGGGGTCGTACGATGAGGAAAAGAGTGAGTAACCATTGACTAGCCCCTATTGTAGACCATCGGAGCCTGAGAGTACTGCGGCAAAAGACCTACAGTATTAGTCTTTGAGGGAGGACTAATTTCAATGCAGATTTTCACTGAAAGAACCCACACCTCCCCCAGCAACACAGGTCAAAAGGCAGGTGGTAGTCATTGCTATGTCCCCAGATGACCTGTAGGGGGCAGAGCATACATGGGGACAGCTTCAGTCTGAGTGTTTCACAATGGCAGCCAGTGACTATCTCACTGTCGATGAGTGATTGCTCCATTTTCTTACTCATCTGCACTTGTTCCTGGCACTTGTCCTCTAAATGACTTTGGCAGTTTGGTCGATGGGCGTGGGTTGGGCGGCTGCTGATGTTTTGTATCCATGTGACCTTGTCCTCCTCAGACGACCCGCTGCCCCCCTATGCCAGCTGGCTGATGACCGTGCTGGAGACCAACCAGCCACACCCGCTGCCCATGCCCACAAACGGGGGGTGCTGGGCGCCGCTGGTGGACTACCTGCCAGAGACCATCACTCCTCGGGGACCCCTGCACAGGTAACCCATGAAAGAGTCTCATCTCCACACAGAACATTCTTTTAATCCTGGTGCTTGAGCTGAGCGAATGATGCTTACAGGTTCTCTACATGTACCAAGCTCTCCCACCATCGAAAAGGGTGTTAAAGCAAATTGCTCACAGTGTGTGATTGTGCATGTGCTCTGAAATATATTCACAATTTTCCTATGGTGATAAAATTCAGTGTAGATTAATCCGTCAGTAGGTGCTGTGATTGGGAGCTACACTGCAGTACTGTAAGTGTGAGAATGCATCTTTGGTGGGACCGGAGTCCTGACTCACTGGCAGCGACTTAAAAGCTCCATAAAACAATCAGATATTGCGCTAATACACTGGTGCTCATATTTCCCATTAGTACAGAGAGATGTATTTATGTTGTAGCTAAATCAGGAGGCACCCTATGATCTTATTGTTGATGTCCCTGCTGTTGATGTCAGGCACACGTCCTGATTTCCTGAGTTCAATGCGTCCCTTGGTCAACAAGGGAGGGGCTTGTGTTTCACTTCAGTCAGAGGCTTTATTGTGTGACATCACCACATTCATTAAAATTAATTAATTAAAGGCTAATTATTTCATAATACTGATCATAAATTGGGGGTTAAGACCCACGGACATGTGATCATTCTGCCAAAGCTTCCCATCAGAGAGACAGAGGCTTAGCCTGCTGAGCCACACACTGGCCGGTAACTGGAAGCCTTGAGTTTGTAAATAAGGAAAAAAATGGATCAATGTGGTGATGTCATACAATGAAGATTATGATTGGTTAAAGAAGTGAAACGCAAGCCCCTCCTTTGTTGATTCAGGGACGCGATGAAATCAGGATGTCCAATGTCAGGCAGCCGAGAGACTTTCTCCCAAAGCCAGGAGCGAGGGCAGCAAAGAGAAGCCTTCAGCCAACACGATAATAATCTTTGCAGAGTGACAAGCAGGTCGTAACTGAAACCAACAGAAATTATGCAGAATGGTAGAAAAAGGTGTAGTCAAGGTTAAAATGATCAGGAATACCGGGCCACTATGACATCATAATCTGAATTGCAGATAAACCGCAATATTATAATGCACAGTTGAGATATTTAAATGTCAGTTTGTGTTACTCTGCTCTTACCCGTTGGATTAAAAGGATTGTATTTGACTGCCTGGAACAGAGGACTGCAGGGTTGATTGCACAGTTTGGATTAATGTAATACCTCAGCCTGTTCCAGCGTAATGCGTGACCCAGCACTGCAGTGATTTAGTGATCAGATTCACTTAACAATGCCTAGGCCTGCCTTTACTGGTGTGGTGCATTTGGCTTAAAGGCGGCATGGTGGTGCAGTGGGTGGCACTGTGATGGGTTTGTGCAAGAATGTGGTTAGGTTTCAGTTATTTCTCTAAATTGTCCATTGTGTGTGTGTGTGTGTGTGTGGGTGAGAGAGAGAGAGAGAGAGAGAGAGAGAGAGGGAGGGACCCTGTACTGGGTGAGAGCTGCATGATGATGCATTGACAGGTGCTGTTATGTTTAGTTATCTTCCTGCTTCTTTGAGTTTTGAATTCTGTAAAGGGGAAATCTACATTCGCTGCACTTTTTTTTATTTTACTGGTTTCTTGTTTTTTAAAAGATGCAGAAATAAGTATTTGAGTTTGACTTAAGTATGTCTTTGTCTGATATTTAAACTTGGCTGATTGTTTGTAATAAGTCTTAAATCTCAACGCCAATAGGATAATGCATTTTACATCATTAGAAGTGAAGGTGCAGCAGTTCCTGTTTCTCCTAGACCCATTATGTTAACTGATTGTAATAGGTGCCCCTGTAACAGCTTTTTGGGTGTCAGCTGCACTTAAACATTTATATTTAGGCATGACTGTGGAAACATGGCAGCACACCATAGCCTACTGTAGCTTATATACCACAGGGTATCCTAGAAAAATCTGTTTTGGAGGCATGTAGCACAAAGTAAGGCATTGATGACCTTATGACCTCTTAGAATGGTGAGAGGAAGAAATCAGTGTCCAGCTTTTCAAATTCTTTTTACAAGTATCTTTGCAAATTAGTCACATAAATCCACTGTAATTCAAAATTGATTTGGAGAAGATTCCGTGACATGAAGAACCCACCTTGTCTGGTTGGTGGGTCTCAGAGATAGAGCAGACAGTGCAGGGCCTCAGTTAACGTTCTGACCTGTGAACCTGTGGTTACCTCAGGTGTAACATCGCCGTGATCTTCATGACGGAGATGGTGGTCGACCACAGTGTGAGAGAAGACTGGGCCCTGCACCTTCCCCTGCTGCTCCATGCTCTCTTTCTGGGTGAGTCTCCCATGGTTTCTCTCTGAATCCTAACCTCTTCCCGAATTCAAATCTGAGTTCCTTAGTATTAGCAGTATCTGACAACTGAACTGGAGCCCAGATACTGTAATTTCATATACTGAGATTCTGATGCCTTGCATCCAAAGATTGGCTGATTATTTTGACCTCTCCAGCTTCAGTTTCCTGTACAGAAGTAAAACTGTCGCACAGATAAATGTACCAAGCTCTTCAGTTCTGTGACCTTCCTGCAAAGCAAATGTGTTTTGATGAAGACATGTAACGGCCATGGAATGTACTACATAACAAAAACCCAGTGTTTCCTTTTAAGTTTGAGAATGGTTGGAATGGTTTTATATGCATTTATGTTCCAACCGATTTTTTATATAAGCCTGTGTGAGTTTTTTTTAAGACAATGAGGTTTTTCACTAATTCATCCTCTTGTTGCCTTTTACATAGTGTGGCACATTTTAAAAACTAAATTGTTGTGAAAATGTCCTTGTGGCTTTCAGCGACTCATTTGTGACGTGACTGTAGTTTGTAGTGACACCTGTGTCTTTGGTTGTTTGATTTCTAACATGGAGTGTGATGTGAAGGCCAGTGAGTGATGTGAGATTGACCAGCAGACATTTAGGTCTCCCTAGAGTTCTGGATAGTGCTAGCATGAAGTATAGCCCAATTAAGGTCTTCAAGAAGCAAGCGTGATATCTCAGAGAGCTCTGGTGAGGGGGGGCAAGAAATGTGAAAAATGCAGTTATGTAGAAGAGGGGTGGGAATGGTATGCACTCCTTCACCTTCTGTCTAAACACCTTTACATCATTAGAGTGTCACCTTGGTATGTCCCACGTTCCTGGGAGATTGAAGCTCAACACTTTTATCTAATCTTCCGTGCAAGGCATGTGGAGCATTTTCAGCATCAAGTCGCAGAACAGTTGCACACATAAACAGATACGTCGCCTCAATTTTTGCTACCTAGTTTTCCCTCCGAAACCACGGGCTCTCTTTCTTTTTTCCATGCATCTGCTGGCAGGACTGGACCACTATCGACCAGAGGTGTTTGAGCACAGCAAGAGGCTGCTTCTCCACCTCCTCATCACATTGTCCTGCAACAACAACTTCCAGGTCATCGCTTCAGTCCTCCTGCTCACCAGAGAGATAACAGCGAGCAAGACCCTAACGTCCAGAGCCAGTTACCAGCCGGAATACCTCTGCACAGGTCAACTAACATAGACAAATTACTTTACACAGTCTGTACCCCCGCTGGAAAAAACCAGCTTCATCAGCTTAAGTTGGTTAGGCTGGTTAACCAATGTATGATAATTGACCACATGCATGTTTTTGCATGATGGTTTGATGGTTTAGCTGGCCAAACCAGAATGACCAGCTTGATAGGCTGGCCAAATTGTTGTGACCAACTGGTGACCCACCCAGCTAAACCATCAAAGAGCAGCAGCAGCTGGGACATGACCGTCTCAGACCATCTTATACCATCATGGTTTTTAGCTGTTTTTTTCGACACAGATACTCTGATTTATACATGTCCTAGTGCAGATAGAGATCTTTGAAATATCTTTTGATTGGCATGGCTTGTGTAGCTTGGCTATTTGTTTATTTTTAGTAATTAAGATGAAGGCTCACTGATTGTGTTTATCAAGATACATAGCAACCAAGACCAGAGAAATCACTATTTAACCAGCTGTCTGTTAGACTTAACATCTGACAGTCCCTTGAAACTGAGTGGCCCTTCCTGAAACGGCCATCAGGGCAAACAGATTTTGGGCTCATTTGGAAAGAAACGGATGACCGCTTATCAGGGGAAGGAAATGTTTGGAGGTCCTGCCAAAAACTGCATCACAGGTCATCATTAAAGCATTCCATTCTTCTATTGTTATCTTGTCCTGGCAGTGGGCATTGTTGATATTAGGGTAGCACGTGTCTCAGGTAATCCTTATGTAATAGCAGGGCTGTCTCTGCCTTTGATAACTGCTCCTTAGTGCCGGACAGGAGTGACAACACGCTGAGATCCCCATAATTTGTATGTCTTTCCTTGGTCTAACTAAACATCCACATTTAGCTGATCTCCCCCTGCCCTCTCTATTCAGGAGGCTTCGACTTCCTGCGGGAGTGCCAGGCCTCCCCGGTGCCGGACTCGGGCCTCAGCTCCTCCTCCACCTCCTCCAGCATCAGCCTGGGCAGCAGCAGCGGAAACCTGCCGCAGACCTCGCAGGAGACGGACGACCTGGAGGAGTCGCCGGCCGAAGCTGACGAGAAGACCAACAAGCTCATGGAGTTCCTCACCACCAGGTAGCAACAGGAGCTTGATGATCAGATAACAGTCTCTCTGTGTGTTATCTACACGGCATTAATAAAAATAATAATAATAATAAAACACTGTATAATTAAAGGAGCCCTTTCATATAAACTGTTACAGCTTAAGAAGAATTGTTAGATGTAGGGAGGAATGAAGGGTAGCAACAATTCAGTAAATACAGCTCTGGATAAAATTGAGAGACCACTCTATATTTTTTTAAAAATCTGTATTTTAATTCCTGGTGTAATCCTGCTTCTGCTGGCAGAGGCTACACTGCAAGGCAGGCTGCTTCCAGGCTTAAAGTTTCAGCACTCTCAGAATAAAGTACAGTAACTTTGTACCTTTGCTTGTCGTTGGGGCTGTACCCTTATAATTGTACTCTGAGGAACATTCCACAGGTACAAACAGCATTAATGTACCATCAATGGTACAGACATATTACTCAGAGTCTATTTCTGTACCTTAAAAGGTGCAGTTACCTACAGCTAAGGGTACAATTTGCAGACCCTTGAGGGTACAGCCCCAGTGAAAAGCAAAGGTAACATTTTAACCCTTTTTTCTGAGAGTGTAAGACAGCAATGCACACCAATAAGGTGAAGTAGGAGACACTGGCAATAACCAGAAACCAGCCAGGCAGAGGGCAGTAGCCACTTTCTAATGCCAGAGATGACCGTCATCTTATCCGGCAGTTCCTCCCTAATTGGAAGATGACCTCAGTGATCTTCAGATGGAATGGGAAACAATAAATGCAGGTGTGAAGTGCACTGCTAGGACAGTGCATACCAGACTCCTAGAAGCAGGACTGAAGCCCCATAGAGCAAGGAAGCAGTGCTTCATCAATGAGAAGCAGGGAAGAGCCAGGCTGGAGTTTGGAAAATGTATATTTTACACAAAAGTATACCCATAAATTTTGAAATGAGTGAAACAGAAAATTTAGCTGTGGTCTCTTAATTTTTTCCAGAGCTGTATATTCCAGAGCTGTATATTTTTCCAGAGCTGTATATGTGCTGTTATTTATTACTTTCCATGTTTAAATGTAATTACTTAAATAGTTTATTTATTGCTGGGCTACATTCCTTAGACAAGGGTTAAACGGCGTTGCCGCCCCGGAACTACTGGAATTCTGCATCCTTGCAGATCATTCAGCATAGTATAAATACTGCTTAGTTATGGTTGAGTTGCTGTCCGACTCCACTCACTTCACACTATGAGAAGAGCCAGAGGTGCTTGTCTGTGGAAGGTAGTTTGCTGTGTAAAGACTAGCCATGTGAGCTATCTGTGCGCCATCTTGTGTTCTTTGTGGGTAATTACATATATATACATATTAGAGAGAGAGAGAGAGAGAGAGCTAGTTTGTGATGTCTGGTAAACTGTAAGTTTCTGATACATTATTCTTACATTGTAAGAAGACAGGTAGGGTTATTCTTGTCAATTTCGACAGATTCTAAATACATTTATTTCAAACCTAAGGGCTCTTCAGCATATCCAACAGCAGTTCAATGGATATCACCCTAGGATTTTTGTCTTTAATTTGTGGTGACATTATTTTTAGGCCATTTGGACCATTGTGGTGCCATGAGGACATCACACCCAAGAACCAGAACTGCAAAAGCACCGAGCAGCTGTCAAACTTCCTTCGCCACATTTTGTCCGTGTTTAAAGAGTCCAAGTCAGGTGACTGCCTCACTTAGACTGAGCAAAGCCTTTCACATGCATGTTTTAGTTTGATGCATATGTTACAGAGGCATTTAACTGAGCAGGTATTCTTATTTGGAGGAACTGGATGTCAAGGGCCAGGTGCTGATGAGCGATCCACTGCTTCATGATATATCCTTAGCATAGAGATGATTAAGAATAAGAATCTTATTTACTCACTTGACAACGAAATCGAGAGATTAGTCCTTGGCTAACACAATACATCACATATAGAACAGCTAGTATGTAAGGCAAGCTTTATTAGACCATTTGCACTGGGTAAAGAGCTAGATTTCCTGAGAGTGCCAGACCTTGTTCAGTGTGCCCCCCCCCCCCCCCGGTGATCGTACTACTGAGAACCAGATCCCCCCTCCGCAGACTTCCACCTGGAGAAGCAGCTGAGTGACGTGGCTTTGCAGACTGCCCTGTATAGCTCCTCGCGGCATTACGCCGGACGCTCCTTCCAGATCTTCAGGGCCCTGCAGCAGCCGCTGTCGGCGCGCGCCGTCTCCGACCTCCTCTCTCGCCTCGTGGAGGTGGTGGGCGAGCATGGCGACGACATGCAGGTGACACTTGTCCTTGTCATTCCGATGGCGATTCTGATGTTGTTTTTTTGTCTGTACTTATGAACAGGTACCACAGATAATGACATGTTGAATATAAGCCAGCACGATGTCATAACTGCATGATCAAAATACATTACGAATTATACTAAACTAACAAATTATCGAATCATTATATGCAGCTCTATGTATATATATATATATATGTGTGTGTGTGTGTGTGTGTGTGTGTGTGTATTTACATTTAATAGTGTTCCCCATCAATCACATCTCAGTAATGTGTGAAGCACACTTCAGTTGTACATTACAACACATTCATCAAAGGAGCAGACTGACAGTAATGACTATAAAAGACTATAAACTGTTACAGTACTTTATAGCTGGGTGAATAAAATGTGGCTTCAGAGTATCCTGGGTTTCTGACAAGCGGTTTTCCACCAAGTCCTGGGAATAACGAGCACCTTTCTGACTGGTCTCCCAGGGCTATGTGATGGAGGTCCTGCTCACGCTCGAGTCAGTGGTGGACAACTTGGCAGAGTGTTTGAAGAACAATGATCTGATGGCTGTCTTATCCAGGCATGTTGCATTATTACTGAATTGCATCATATTATTTAGCATCACTGTGTTTAATGTGATTTTTCCATCTTGAATCGCATCGATTAAAGCCGTCTGTATGTCCAGCAGGGCTGCCTCCCCAGACTTCCTGAGCAATGCAAAACTGAGGTCAAACAGAAAGAGTACAGGTCAGCTGGATCTGTACCAGCAGGGGGCAGGCATGAGCAGGGCAGAACGCGACCGCCACCAGCGCAGTTACTCCGTGCCCAAGAAGTTCGGAGAGGATGACCGGTTCTCGGATCCTCCGAGCAGCACCCCACTGGAGCGGATTCAGGCCAGTGGGCAGCTGGGCAGCCTGACGAAAGCCCACAGCCTCGCGTCCTGCAAGGACAGCGTCGGTGACCCGGCCAGCATCAACCACCCCTGCAACCTGCTGGCCACCATCTTCTGGGTGGCGGTGTCGCTGATGGAGTCCGACTTCGAGTTCGAGTACCAGATGGCCCTGCGCATGCTTCACAAGCTGCTGTCGCACATGCCGCTGGACCAGCCTGAGAACCGGGAGAAGCTGGAGAAGCTGCAGGCCCAGCTGCAGTGGAACGGCTTCACGGGGCTCCAGCAGCTCCTGCTCAAGGGCTTCACCTCGGCGGCCACACTCGACCTCACGCTGCAGCTCTTCCGGCAGCTCACACCCGTGTCCCGCGTTCCCGTGGTGGACACCTCACAGGCCATAGGTACAGTATGAGGATCACAGTCTGCGGTTCGTGTAATAATCTTGAACAGTGTTTTCTAACCCAGTCGTCGCGGACCCACAGATTTTTGCCATTTTTGCTCCCTCCCTTCACATTTTTGCTACTGGGAGTTGGGAGGGAAGCGAAAGCATGGCGTGCTGTGGGTCCCCGAGCACCAGGTTGGGAAACACTGATCTAGAAGGACAAACATTAATGTTAATTACTATATTTCTGCCTTAGATGCAGAATGCAGAGGGTTGATGATGGCATGCCACTATTTATACAGTTTGATCCAGAACACTGTATTTAATTAATTAAAACCATGATTTAGAGAGAGAATGCATGCTGTTTGAGTTTGGTCATTGTTTACACTACTGCAACAAAACAGTTACCCAGCATGGTAACACTTTACTAGACAGGCCACAAATGTCCTATTACTTATGTGTTAATTAACCACAAACTAAGCCTTAGTTACATACTGATCTCATGTTAATTCATCATTATTGAATCGTGATGCATGTTTTTAAGCAGTTAGTAAAAGTTTACATAATTAACACATATAGTAATAAATATAGTAACTGTTACTATATTTATTACTATATGTGTTAATTATGTAACCCTTTGTACACTACTGAAGGAACGAGTCATGAATAACACAAGTTAAATACTGATGTCATGTTTGTTCATCATCAATGAATCATGATGTATCTTTCATCCCAAGCAGTTACTGTATTTGTTAATAGATCTATTAGTCCTGTAAATCGTTGTGAACAACTGAAGGAACAAGTCATGAATAACACAAGTAAAATACTGATCTCGTTTGTTCATCATTAATGAATCGTGACGCATCTTTCATCTCAAGTAGCAACTATATTTGCCCATGATTTGTACTTCAGCAGTAACTGAGTTATTACTAAATATTTGTGCCCCACCAAGTAAAGCATTACCCTCAACATCCATACATTAGCACATGGAGCAGATACTAACTCAACATGTACATTAGTACATTTGCTAACAATATGTATGAGGCTGTATATGGAGCAGATGGTGATTCAGCATTTACACATTAGCACATGAGCTGGTAGTAATTATGAGGCTATATATGGAGTGGATGTGATTCAGTGTTTCGCCTTTAACCCACGTGTTAGTCACCATTAACACATTTGCCCCTGGGCTCACCCTCATCTTTCCTTGGCAGGTTTCCCCTTGAATGTTCTGTGTCTGCTCCCTCACCTCGTCCAGCAGTTCGACACCCCAACTCTGTTCTGCAAAGATGTCGCTGAGAGAATAGCTCAGGTCTGTTACATTTTACACTACGGTTTACACTAAGACCATGCAAGTCCAGAAACGACAGGTGGATGAGTTATACATTTGATCGTACGATGTTTTAGGTCTGCCTGGAAGAAAACAACACCAAGCTGGCAAACCTGGCCCATGTGATGACCCTGTACAAAACGCACTCCTATACCCGGGACAGCTTCTCCTGGGTCAGCGTGGTCTGCCGCTACTTGCATGAAGCCTTCTGTGACATTACCCTCAACATGGTCACCTACATGGCTGAGGTACTTGGCACATTTGCATCACTTTTAACCCACCACACATTGATGTATGGTATCTGACATGTTTCTCTTGCTGGACAGCTGTTGGAAAAGGGACTTCCCAGCATGCAGCAGTCCCTACTGCAGATTATCTACAGTCTGCTGAGTCACATGGACCTTGGCGGAGTCCAGGTTAAGCCTTTCAACATGGAGGTGCTCAAGACTATTGAGAAGTTTGTTCAGGTGGGTCACTGAGACATGCTGGCGGCCTGGTCCTCCTGTTCAGTTTTTTTAGGTAGTAGGAAGTAAATCATTCTGAAAGCCGCAGCTTTATATTGCATTCGCTACAAATAGTTTCCCACAAGTTGTATGTATGTCATATAGAGAGAACACAGGGGCCACAGCAAAACATTGCATCTGGAAGATTTCCACTGCTAAATTTAAACCCTTCATCGAAAAATGAAGGCTATTCTAAGAAAATGAGATGCATGATGCAGAACTCCTGATGTCGCCCTGGGACTGCCTGGAAAAAGTTTGCTGCGACGAGACATTGTGCAGCACAGTGAATATGTTTGTGAAGAATATGTTTAATGTGTGCCTGACCCCTCCCTCTGTCTGAGTTGGGGGTGCCACCTGCAGCATTCTCCTGAATCACATAACTGAACAGGGGAAAACCATTTTTCTTCTCATAACCACAAGAAATTTGGGCCTTATTTAACACTAACATGGGAAGAAAGTGGAAATATTTTGGTGACGGGGGCCTGTTGTATTTCCTGGTTACTGTTTCTTAAACAGACAGAGAAAGAATGCCGTTTCCCAGCAGATAAACAGTTCTTTAGGTTTTTTTTTTTTAAAGGAGATTATGACCTTGTCCACGAGCAATAAATTCAGAGCCACACCCAGAGTGGCTTCATAAACAGTCCGCCGCCTTCGCTCCAGTTTCCACTGCAGAGTTTAGCGGCTCTGTCTGGCAGTGTGTTTCCTCTGCACTCTTTCCGCTTGCTACTCTTCCTGGAAGAGGTTTTCTCCATACGGCATCTTTGCAGAACCAGTTGCAGTGCATTCTGTCTAAAGGTGGCTGTCCCTCACGGACTGCGGTGCTCCACAGACCTTCAGCAACTGCGTGTGTTTTTCGAGGCTCCAGTGGGCTGTTCTTTCCTTCTCCAGACGCCACACTGGAAGGAGGCCCTGAACATCCTGAAGCTGGTGGTGTCCCGATCGGCCAGCCTAGTTCTGCCATCCTATACTCACGGAGACCTTTCCCACGTGGACGTCGGCCGAGTGTGGGATGGCTCATCCAAGGCCCTGCCGGGGAAGACGCTGGACTTCCACTTCGACATCTCGGAGGTTTGACACCCCCCATCCCCACCCCCGCCCTGTCTTTGCATCTGTTATTATTAAGAAGTTAGTTGAAGGGTTCGAAACAGGAAAGCGTGTTCCATATGGAAAGTAACATTCGGTCAAAAATGATGTTTAAAAAACCCGAACACAATGTGCTTTTTTCCTCTTGTTTTTCACTCTCAGAGGCATGGTCTCCGTGTACTACCTTTTAGTTAATTTAGTTCTCGTTTCCTATCCAAATCTGATAGCATCAGCTCAGTAGCTGAAAATTTAAGACGGACCAATTAAGGGGCAGCCGTGCAAAGATGGAAAGGGGGGGGGGGGGGTGAAGGAGACTGGGTGTGGCGTGGCGGCAAGTGTGTGGGAACCAAACACTGAGCTATTTGTGTGCTGTATGAATTACAGGAAATGATGTCAGCACAGCAGCCCCTTTGTATCTGGAATCAGTTGGAATTTTAGACTCAGCCTGCATGGGAAGTAGCCCAAACATCACGGCTAGTTAAGAAATGTGAAACAGACCCTCGTGTCTCACTGACAAATACCTCAGCGGTATTTTTGGCTGTTCAGTGAGGGCAGCAGCTCGCTCTTCCCAGTGACCAGGAGGAGTCAACGTTAATTGCTCACAGATGGATTTGATCAGAGTTTGGGAAATCCATGTTTTGGAGGTGCCTCCCCGTCAGGGAATCTGAGAGCTGGAGAAGAATCCGAGAGCTGTGCTTACTGCTCTGGCGGGTGCCTAGAAAATTCATGGTGCTTCCAGGACAAGTGCAGTAGATTGAGGAGATGGAGATGTGAGCTAGAGCAGGGAGTAGAAAGGAGACGATGAGAGGAGGTGCATCTTCTCCCAGGCTGGCCTCCTTTGTACGCGACTCACTGCCCTGATCCGTGTGCACAGACACCAGTGATCGGCAGGCGCTACGATGACCTGCAAGGCTCCCCGGGACGAAACGGCAAGAGCAGGCCCGTCACAGTGACCCGCAGCACCTCCTCCACCTCATCGGGGTCCAACTCCAACAGCGTTCTGGTGCCGGTCAGCTGGAAACGGCCACAGCTGTCTCAGGTGAGGGTTTTGCTTATAGCCTCTGATATGGTTTAGGAGAAGATGAGCAGGCATGGGGCTACCAGGCAAAGCTATGAGGTGAATGACATTCCCTGCAGTGCTACAGAACACTCTCATTTGTTGTTTGCGTTCTGCTGAGAATAGATTAATTTTGCATTATTATTATTATTATGAGCTGTCTGAGAAACTTCCATCAAAAAATCTTTTGCATATTTTTTGATTCCATTTAGTTAATCACCACATGCAACAATATTTCTCAATCCTGTTCCTGGTAGGATCATGATTGGCTTTTCTGGAGTGGTTCTCTTTACTAAACCTGCACACATGCTGTAAAATAAGCCTGTTGCCTGCTACTTATTAAGACCCAGGAATGAATTTGGATCTGGGGTGGGTTTCCTGAAACCTCCTTAACGTTAATACATGGACTACAATCTTCGTTAGGTTTCATCTTTGTGCTCTGAATGCGCAGCGAATTGGCCTCAGTAAAGTGCGGATTCATAATGAAAGATAAGGAACGCGGTGTTAATTATGTATTTATGTATTTACTAATTGAGAAGGAAGGGGAGGGGGGTTCTGCTGATATTGTAGTGGACACAGTTCCACCCCTGGTTATTTCCACAGAAGAGGACTCGGGAGAAGCTGGTTAACGTGCTGTCCTTGTGCGGGCAGGAAGTGGGTCTGGCCAAGCACCCGTCGGTAAGGGAGTCGTTCACCGCTAACAAAGCCAACCGAAACCAATTACAATGATCAATATCAGAAAAGTACACAGTGCAGAGTAACCCCACCCCCCGGGTACTCGAGGTGGGGCGAGTGGTGGCAGCATCACGGTTAAGACTCTGGACTCTTTTAAACTGAAGGTTTTTGGTTCATGTCCTTGTTAGGGCCTTACTGTACCCTTCAGCAAGCCTTGAATAGCTTTAGTATAAATATACAGATGAATAAATAGGTATAGATAGTTTTGTACAAGAGCAACAATTAAGCAACTTGATGGAATGAATTTTGCAATGCTTAAGTTATAATTCCGTGATGGTGGCACCCGACAGCAGTCATACTGTGAAATCTCCGCCCCCACCTCACCTCTGACCCCAGGTGATCTTCTCGTCCTGTGGGGAGCTGGACCTCCCTGATCATCAGCCCAGCCTGGTTTCCTCCGAGGACGGGGCGCGTGAACCAGACAACATGGACGACACCACTTCCGAGCAGCAGTTCCGTGTCTTCAGGGACTTTGACTTCCTAGACGTGGAGCTGGAGGATGGAGAGGTAAGATTTTACACTCGCACAGATGCGGGGTGGAGGCTTCTTATTGGCTGAGCCAGAACTGCCAGTCAGAGTCTGGGCTAAAGTAATTGGCCTGTTTTACTACTGTATGTAGAAAGCTAATTCATTTTTAAAGTTTAAAGCTGTGGTATTCTATGAGCAATATAACAGTTTGTTCCTTGACAGAGATGTTTGTCTGAGGTTTTTAAACTGTTTTAGTTGAATAGCAAGATTACCACTTTAGATTTATGGTACTCGCATGCTTACCCCATTTTGACTATATTTTAAACATATCTCTAATTTAAATTGTGCATGCACTACTTATTAAATACATCCTTTATCATCCTTCCTAATCCGCTGTTGTAATTTGGTTTCTTTTTGTTTTTTGGTCTGTGCCACCTAGGAACTCCAGGTAAGATCAGCCATGCTGCAGTTTTGACAGCTTGTGCAGTAGCAGAGTGTAGTACGTCCTGGTTTAGACTGTGTCATCATGGTAACTGTAGTGTAGAGGGTGATCTTTGTGCATGCTCATCTCAGTGTTTTGGGGCATTGAATGAGATTCTAGATCCACATAATACAAACCGAGGAGTAGAAGCAGGATTAAAAACTAATGATCACAGCCAAGCTGCATGACTACATGGGTCATATTTAACCAGTACATTCAGACTGTCTGTTTGTAAACATCTGCTTGACAGTGTGACTCAGGTGAGGTCATAGGAGCTCATTGAGTATGTGATATTTACCGATTATATCAGAAGCTGTGCCAAATTCATACCCAAGTGTCATATTTAGCAATCTGCCAGCCAACAACTCATAGCAAGTTCTGTCATTAGGAACTGGACATCTAATTTTTGATAACTAATGCATTGATTAATTACCTAATTTACTGGAATAAACAGACATGCTAAATTGGTAGAAATAAACTTGTGTATTACAGATGAAGTTATTAAAACGTTAGTGGGTAAATTACCCGTTGAGGTCTGAAGTACCCACAGGAGTTGCCAACAGAGCCAGTTTGCAAACTGCTGATGGCGTTGCCAGGTCACGTGACACTTTGCGTGTGGATGTAAGGAAGCGTGTGGCCATTATCGCATGCCCAGTAGCACCTTTATCCTGTGCTAATCAAGTCACTAATAACTCCCACAGTTATGTTACTTGGAAATGTTACTGTGTGCTTCGGATTTCCTCCCGGGTGCTCTTCCACCCCTCTGGAACTGAACATCACTTCTGCTCCAGTGGGTCCAGTGATGAGAAGCAGGGGTGGACCAGAACAGCAGCATGATCTAATTTGGTACATGGGAAAAGTGCAGTGCACTTAAAATGCCATTTTCTGTTGTGCCTGTTAACAATCAAAAAGCGGCACTCAGACGGGTACGGTGTGGATGTTTCTCTCAACGTTTATTACAGTAGCCCATCATTTTCATCTTTGCCCATGTGCAATGTTTTACACACTTAAGAGTTGGGTTAAAAAAATCCAGGTCTTTTCAGCATAAAACGTTGCTTTAATTTGCTGGTCAGAGATCATGCTCATCTGCGTCCCCTGTCACCTTTCAATTAACCATGAGCTCCATTCTGCATGCCATCCCAAAGCGGGGGAGTGTACCTCCCTCTTGTCCGTGTGGAATACTTTCAGCCTGTCGCCACGGAAACTCCCTTGTTTAAGCTGGAGCCGGGGCGGAATGTGAAAGCATGTGGTCAAGTCTGAGGTCGCTCAAAAGCTAAATCGAACCCAAAGCCATTTGGCAATAGCAAAGGAGCTCTCACTGGACTCCAGGGAATGGATAAAGTAAATATTTCATTATTTCAGCTAGCTCTTAATGTGCTTGAATACTTGTATGTTTAATTATTTATAGCCACCAAGCACTTTTTTTTATGTAACCTTGGGGGTTTGTGACCTTGTTCTGTCCTCGCATATGGCTCATGTAGCATTAGGCTTTCCTCATCCACATGTTCTCCTGTTTACATTCTTACTAAGGCGCTCATGGTGGGAGGCGAGTCGACAGCTCTGGCTCTGATGGGCGTGCAGTGCTGAGGGCTCCATTGTCTTGCAGGGCGAGAGCGTGGACAATTTTAACTGGGGAGCACGGCGACGCTCCATGGACAGCCTGGACCAAGGCGACTCGCTGCCACCGCTGGAGGAACGCCAGCACTTGGGCAGCATGCCCAGCCTGGGCCAGCCCGCCCCCGAAGACTCTGACGAGTCATCGGAGGCAGAGTCGCTAACGGCTAGCCAGATCCTCTCTCACTCGCAAATCGTAAGTCTCGCCCCATCTTCTGTGAATTGTGCCGGTGAACTTAATGTAGCGGTGTATAGATTAGTGTGGATGAGGAAACTTTTTGCGTTTATGAACAGTGCAGCTGCAGAATGGCTGAGGGTTTAGGGAGTTTCCTGCTCACCTTGTAACTCACATCTTCCATCTACTCCAGTTTTGAGGCAGTTTCCTCACACTGCATCCTGCTAACACCAGGCTTAGCTCCACCCTGCCCCTTGCTGAGTCACCCTAACCCCTCAGCTGCCACTGGCAGGCTGGCCTGCTCTCGCTGTAGAAAGTAACTCAGCTTTGTCCTCTGCCATCATTTTCACTGCAGCTTATGCCTATTTTAAACAGTTGATTTACTGGGGACCACCTGACACTTTGCGGAACTTCTGCTTAGTGCCTACTTGCGATTGCTGAGGTTTTTGTGTATTTGTTTTGAAGCGACAGTCTGCAAGGACTCTTGCTGTATTCCGGCAGATCATGAACCTCTCCCCCACTGAAGAGGCCAGTCACACGGACTCTCTGTCCACCTCCTTTGACACAACGTCAGCCGAGCCTCTCTCCCTGAACACTCGGACTCCCAGTCTGGAAATCTCTCCACCGGAAGACCTGAACCAGCCGGTGAATAAGGGCTTTGGGGTGACGGACCACTGGGGACAGCCTCACCCCTATTCTTACCGCACCTCCATTCTCGAGTTGTCCACCAAAGTTGCCAAATAAGAATGTTGGACGCTTTCCTCTTATGCACTATTCTGATTTGTCCCAATCTACTCCATCTTTGGCAGCTTTATCAAAAATTAACACTGCAACACAAGGGAACTGGGTGTTTATCTTTTTATTCTTTGTTACAGCATGCTTTCCTGAGCTTAAGTCTAACAGACAATCTTTCATTAGTTTTAAGGCATTTAGAGCTCCTGCTTTATCCTTTTTTGGTGTATAACCCTGTTTTCGGGCACATGCATGCTTGGGGCTTTTTTGTTTGGGTTGTGCTCTCCATGTGGCAATGTGTACAGCTGCTTTTATGAGCTGCAGAATGCTATTGGCTCATTCGTAGCATGTGACAGACCTAGAAAGGAGAGGTACACATTGCCTCTAGCTCAGCTATGGGTGCCAGAATGTTTGTGCATCATCTCCAAACATTTCTGAATTGGCATCATTGGCACTCAAGAATGTGTAAAAACACTAAGGAATAAAAACATCTTCTGGATTGTCTCTGCCTTTGGAAAAGGTCAGTGTATTAATGATAATATGGTAGTTAATGCTCATGAATATGTCTGTGTTTTATGGATTGTGTACTTTATTTAATATGAGGGTATGGGCTCTGGTGTCATATGCTAGCCTTTGGTCGTAGACCGTGAAGTGTCGCGTGGCCTGGCACTGATATGGCCCCCGTCGGGATTTTACGCCACAGACTGATGTGTCCGGGGACGATGATGACACCAATGCCCACGAGGATGGCCTCTCGCTCTCCATCAGTGACCTCGTACCTGGCTTCCATGGTGGCACCAGCATCGTGTTGGATATGGGATGTGGGGAGCAAGACCTGGACCCAGGCCTTCTAACCAGGTATGGGACCCTAAGCATCTGTGTTCATCAGCCAGAGTTAGTATTCAACTACAGGAGGCAAGCTGTGATATGTTTCAGGGGGAGGCAGGATTGCTCTGTTAAAAGTATGTTATTGGCACTAACAATCCAAGCATCTAGCCAGGGGCTTACAAGTTGCTATCCAAGGAATTCCTGCTACTTTTCCTCAACAGTGGACATTGTGTGGAAATAGGATTTGACTGACTGAGAAGGTCCTGACTCTTTTTGCTTGGCAGTGCTAGCGCTAATTGCTAATACACCATTTATAAGCATAGATGCTATCAATGTTGTCAGTTGTGCTGTTTTCACCTCCATGGGCTACAGACATGGTTTATCCCACCGCTAAGCCATGACGCTTGTGTGCATCTTATGGCAGCCTGGCCGAGGAGGACAAAGACGAGCTGCTGGAGTCGCGCTCCTCGCCGCTGCCGTCTCCGTTCTTCTCCGCCATCCTGGCTGCGTTCCAGCCGGCCGCATGCGATGACGCAGAGGAGGCCTGGCGCTGCCACATAAACCAGCTGGCATCCGACATGGACGGCTCCTGTGCTGCCTACACCTTCCACATCTTCTCCTCACTTTTCCAGGTAATGCCCCCCCATGGGGTGAATGCGGAACAAAACAGAATCTGACCCAGAATGCCAATAGGCTAAACAGATGCTAATTTAGTCAGAAAGTCAGATTTTTGGTGATTTTTCAAGTAAGTTGCTGCAAAACACTTCACAGTTGATGCAGTGGTGTCAGCAGAAAATTTTGATTGGGGTGGCCATCGGGGGCCAGTGATATTTTTTGGGGGTAGTCACACCACACAGTGTCTATTCTATGGTTCTGCTTAGAAAATTAAAGAATGAATACAGTGGTACCTCAGTACTCGAACTTATTAGAACTTGAATTTCTTAAAAGTCGAACAAACCAGTTCGAAAAAAAATGACCTAGAACACAATCTGAATCTCAGAAATCGAACCGTGAACACCGACCTAAGATAAATTGTACACGCCGGGAAATGAGTCACGCGGCACGTCTCTCAGCGGAAACAAAGGGTAACGCTTCAGTCTCAGCCTCGCATTTGCTGTGATTGCATCGTTTGTTAGTGATAGTGCTTTTTTATTGAAAATATCAGGTAATACACTGTACTTTATATCATTTTGATAGCTATTGCTCACCAAAAAGTTACGCTATAGTTGTACAAATGTTACAACCTAAAAGTTTGCGATTTACGAACAAATGAACAAATACAGAGTAATAATAAAAATAAACAATGGACCGCATGGCATAGTCTAGTGTTGGCGCAGTGTTGGGGCATGGCTTGGGGTAGTGTTGGGGTACATTCTTTATTATCATAATTTTCATATGTACAAAAAAAGTGATATATAACAGAGCAGGTTATTGCACATTGTAAATTTTTTAGAAATATTGCACAGATTTAGCTTGGTAAGGTATTGCCCAGGTTTGTGAAAGACAGCATACCCGTCCATATTCATTTATAATTGCAACAGCCCTAGGATATGTGCTGTTTTTCAGTCCGTTTGTTTTTGCTTTTATTCACCTGTACCGCTTTCCTGAGGGTAACAGCTGGAAGTGTAGCTGGAAGGTGATGTCTTGGGTGGGACGTGTCCTTCAGGATGCTGCAGGATATTCAGTGGCAGCAGGACCTGTACAGCTCCTCCAAGGAGAGGAGAGTGCAGCCCATGATCCTCTGCGCTGTGTTGATGACCCTCTGGAGCGCTGCCTTGTCTTGAGCAGTGCAGCTGGCAAACCACACTGGGATGCATTATGTCATCACACTTTCCACAGAGCATCTGTAAAATGAGATCAGCAGCTCCTTGGTTATGGCATTGTTTTTCAGGACCCTCAGGAGTCTCTGCTGTGCCTTCTTGATCAGCGCAGTGATGTTGGTCTTCCAGGTTAGGTCCTCATTCAGGTGCAGGACCAAAAACCTGAAGACAGAGACCCTCTCCACACAGTCCTCATTGCTGTATATGGACTGAGGGTCAGATCTGTTTCTTCTGAAGTCCACAGTTATCTCTTTTGTGTTTGTGGTGTTAAGGGCCGGGTTGTTATTTCTGCACCACGATGACAGTTTTTCCACCTCGTCCATGTATTCAGACTCGTCTCCCCCTGTGATGAGTCGGACCACTGTCGTGTCGTCCGCGAACTTCACAATAGAATTGCTTGGTTGGGTGGGGGTGCAGTCGTGTGTGTAGAGAGTGTACAAAAGGGGACTCAGCACACATCCCTGTGGGGAGCCGGTGCTGAGGCTGAGTGCTGTGGAGAGATGAGGCCCCATTTTGACTCTGTAGGCGGTCGCTGAGGAAGTCCTTAATCCAGAGGCAGGTGGAGTATGAGAAGCCAAGGTTGTTTAATTTTGTTACCAGTCTATTTGGGATGATCGTGTTAAATGCCGAGCTGAAGTCGATGAAAAGAAGCCTGGCGTAACTGTCCTTCTGTTCCAGGTGGGTCAGGGTTATGTGGAGGGCTGAGGCTATTGTATCCTCCGACGATCTGGTTTCACCTGTATGCAAACTGATGGGGGTCGAATGTGGGTGGAAGTCCTTCAATGATGTGCTTTCTGACCAGTATCTCAAAACACTTCATAACGATTGAAGTGAGAGCCACTGGCCGGAAGTCGTTTCGGCTGCTGATGGTGGTCTTTTTTGGAACAGGGATAATGGTTGAGGCCTTCAGGCAAGGTGGGACAATGGCCTGTGTTGAATATTTTAGTGAAAACCCCTGTGAGCTGGTCTGCACAGTCCTTCAGCACTAATCTGTGATGCCGTCAGGTCCTGCCGCTTTACTGGGGTTTACTGCTCGTAGCATGTGCCTCACGTCACACTCCCCCACCCTGAAGATGTGGCTGGTGTTCACTGGTGGATGTGATGTAGTCGGATCTGGTGTTTTTTGTTCAAAGCGGGCGAAGAAGCAGTTCAGCTCCTCCGTCAACGCAGCATCGCCATCCACAGCAGACAGATTACAGCACTGAATGGTTTTAACATAATAAGTATTTAATTTTTGTTTCATTGCTCCTCTACCTTGCTGGAATCACTTATGAGCATAAATAGAAATGCAAATCAGGAAATTAAAACAGGTATACTGCCCAGCACTACTCCAACTATAACTGAACACACCTGACCTTAATATTTACTACTCCCTTTGATTCAATTTTCTCAAGAGTGTAAACTGTACGATCCATAGCCTAAAGTCTTACACGGGAGAGAGGATTATGGCCTGAGGCCACTAAAGCCGTGGGTAGAAGGTTATTGGATACAATGGTAATTAAACTGATGTTTAATCTTGGATATTCTGTCCTTAATGTTTCTGATTTGCTTTTTCCTTTAATTACGCCTAGATTTTTTTTTGGTCGTTTCAGCCAGTGGTTTTTCAGCCAGGATTTACTAGAACGCAGATATTACAGCCATCAACTATATACAGAGATATCAGTTTTCATTTACTATGAGGAAATATGTATTTGTAGTGACCCATCCAATATGCTGGTTTCTGCTACCATTATCCATTCCATCAAAGAAAGTCAGCAGTGCTCCGATTAACTGAGAAATTGATTAGTTTGCAGGTCTGTACAATTCGATAATGTGATTGTGTCTGGGTTTCAGACACATTATCGCCATCTAGCAGTATTCTGCAGGCCAGAGCTACATGCAGATCAGCATCTTTGTGCTCATGGATCAGGCTTCAGAAAAGCTTGAGGAAAGTCCCAAAAATACGTCACTCAGTTAAGGAGTGTCACATGATGCACAAATGTGCTTTTAAGCATTCATAAACTGGTTGTACAATTGAAAATATGTTGTCGCAAAAATACACACTTGCAAATTATGAGGAATCTACAAATAGAAAATTTGTTCAGGGATATGTTCATGTATTTGTACAAATCATTCTGCAATTTTCAAATGCAAATTTACAAGGCACCGGTTGAAAGATATTTGTGTGGATAGTAAAACACATATGTGACATGTCTGTTACACAGGGATCATGCTGTCAGTAATACTGAGGCTAATCTCTCTCCATAAATCAAAGCAGCGTGGAAGTAATGAACAAACGATGACTACCTTTGTCTACATTCCACTCTGTCTAGCAGTGACAAAACGTTTGTTCTCGTTTCAGAACATTCAGAAGAAATTCTGCTCGCTAACCTGTGATGCTGCTGGTTACCTTGGTGACAGCCTACGGGGTATAGGGGCCAAGTTTGTGAGGTCATCCCAAATGCTGACATGCTCTGAGTGCCCCACACTCTTTGTAGATGCTGACACTGTGAGTAGCATTGGATGTCTGTCTATCTCACATACACACACGCAGATACACACCAACTTAATACCTGCTTATCTTTCCTAGATCATCTCATATGGGTTACTGGAGAAGCTGAAGTTCAGTGTCTTGGAGCTTCAGGAGTACCTGGACACTTACAATAACAGAAAAGAGGCTGCAGTATCTGTAAGCAACTAAATACCTTTCCTGTTCTTTTGACTTTCATGAGTTCACAGGTGACACTCACTGGATCTCTGTGTTCTGTGGTGAGCACTGGGTGTAGCACCTTAACCATCGTGTTTATCATCTCTTCCTCATCCTTCTTGCTTAGTGTCTTATGAGGAGAGGTTAGCCGAGTTGAATCTTTTAGCTTTGAGTAAAGGAGACTAAGGGGGGACATGATCCAGGTCTATAAGATTCTAACGGGTCTGGATGCTGTTCAGCCAAATGGCTATTTCAATATTAGTTTAAATACTAGAACTCGTGGAAATTAGCGGGAGAACATTTTAAAATGAATTTGAGAAAGCACTTCTTTCCACAGCGTGTAGTTAGAGTATGGAATAGTCTTCCTGTTAGTGTAGCGCAAGCTAATACCCTGGGGTCCTTTAAATCAGAACTAGATAAGATTTTAACAATTCTGAGCTTTTTCTCCCTAGTTCTCCCTAAAGGAGCTTGATGGGCCGAATGGCCTCCTCTCGTCTGTAAATTTCTTATGTTCTTGTGTTCTTAGTGGTTACGAAACTGCAAGGCCAGCTTCCCCAAGGCCTCAGGGAACAGAGTGATTACCTGCCAACCAAGGGATTCAGAAGAAAAGGTAGCCATCCCTGATGAGACTGTCCTGTGTTGATGATGTTAACCCGAGTAAACAAATCAGAATATCAGATGGACTGCTGTTGCATATTAATGAGATTAACTAATTAACCACTAGAACATTGTTTAGAAAGTGCTTGTTTAATGTGGATTTAATTGATTGTATAAAAATAATTATGTTTGTTCAGTGTTTTGTATTTATGTTAGTAGTGGCATCAAAACCATTTACTTTAGAGGCTCCAATTCCCTCAGGTTACTTCTGGTTCCATTTCAATTGATCTTTTACACGTTTCCCTATGAACCACACCCTCTGGTAGCTCTGTGAGTTTAATACTTTCATTTTCCTCCCACTCTTAATCTTGGCTTGTTTGGACAATCCCCTGGTTGCCACATATCATACTGATTCTGCCCTGCTTTGCAATGCAACCCCTGAACTCTGTTGGGAAGAACAGCAGAATCCCAGATCAAAGCAAAAAAAAAAAAATCTATGGGGAAAACCAATTGCAAACTGACTGCCTGCCACTGAAAGTGCTGAGGAATGGTCTAAAAACACTTACGTCATTTATATATGCTAACGTATGCTAAAGGGAGTCCCAGCAGAGTACTCACTTGTGCTTTTCCTTCTAAATAACTGCTTTTATGCCTGGCCTGTCAAACAACTCAAATAAGGCCTCCAGGATCCCTGTAAGCTTTTCAAACTGCATTTCTCTCTCCCGCCCCTTGCATGTGAGACTTAAGACATCTGCTAACTGCTAACGACACTTTCTTTGGCAGAAGAATGCATGCTCTTCATTGATTTTTCTGTATGCACTTCTCACCTTTCTCTTGTCCTGTGACATGCTTGCTCTGTAGCAAATGGAATCTCTGGCAGTAAGTTAAAATAACAACTATTTTTTAATCAATACAAAGGCAAAATACATAATCAATTCATTTCTGAAGTATCGTAATTATGTCAGCTACTCAACATCACCGTGTATAGGCTATTTAGGTATCAGTGCCGTTATTTAAGGGCCATAATGTGGTTGATTTTAGCCGGATCACTGCACCTGTATGCATTAAAGACTTTCAATTCTGAGATGTGATGGTCTGTATAAATACATGGTACTGTCCTGTTGCAGCAGATTTGCAGTTAATCTGAACATGTGTGCATGTTTGTGTGTGTCTCCTCTTCAGCAACTGGAGTTGTGTCAAAGGCTGTACAAGCTCCACTTCCAGTTGCTGCTGCTCTTTCAGTCTTACTGTAAGCTGATTGGTCAGGTTTACGCCATCAGCTCTGTTCCAGAGGTACAACAATCCTGACACAGTCTTTCCACCAAAGAAAAGCAAATTTTGGTCATATTTTGCATTTATCATTATCATAAAAATAATACTTAGTTAATAATGTTAAGCTCTCTAAATCATTTTCATTGGATGTACAGTGGATTTTAAGAAAAATTTTGTACAAAGATTCAGTGTAGTCACTGTCATCCGTTAGTAGTTGTTATGTTGCTTTAGTAATTACTTCTTATTACCCCTTGTAGCTGTTGAACATGTCCCAGGAGCTGAGTGACTTAAGGAGCAATTTAAGAGCTGCAGCTGCATCTGTAGTTGCCAAAGAGAGCCCTTCACTGGACCCCATTTTCAGCTCCTCTGAGGCAGCCGTGCAGGCCGTCCTGGAAAGCCTGAAAAACAATCAGCTCACAGCCACCATCCAATACATCCGTCACTGCAGGTGAACATCTCACAGTGCAGTTGCAATGTTCTGTGATCGGGAGGATTCATATCATCCTGAGACCCGAGGAAAAAAAGTGTCCTTCAATTTTAGGTTATTTGTCTTTGGAGGAAATAAGACAACGTACAATTTAGATTTTTTCAAATTTATTTTTAATTTCATCATCTCCTCTTTAGTGTACAACAGGAATAAATATGTCTCCTTACATGAGTGAAAAGATAGATGCAAAAACAAAATGTCCACTACAATGGACATAAACGAATGGGTGGGGTCTCAGGAGGATATAGTTCTCTCATCTGATTGCTGCTTATCCTTCTACAGGAGGACTTGGCCCAATGACATCTTTGGCAGCAATTCTGAAGACGAGGTCCAGACCCTGCTGAATATCTATTTCCGCCACCAAACACTGGGCCAGACTGGCACCTTCGCCCTGGTGGGCTCTGACCAAGACATGTCACACATCTGTGTCAAGTTGATGGAGCTCAATAGCGAGATAAGGGACATGATCCATCAGGCCCAGGGCTACAGAGTCGTTGGTACCTACCTCCCAGATTCCAGCGTGTCAGGCACTAGTCTTTAATGGGAGAACATTTAGCTCAGCCCTTCCTCCTATCTTAGGCTATCATTGCACCTGCATTGGCCTGGAGAAGTTCTGGGGTAGGTTCTCCTGACCTTGCTTGGTTGGCAGGAGCTCCTGGATGCCCGGTGTGCAGCAATACTGTGGAAGTGAAAGGAACACAAGACTCTATTGCATAAAAGACTGAATCTTTACTTTTTTTGCACTAATAAGTATGTATGAAGTCACAAAGTCACATGGTGGCTGTGGCAGCTGCTGGGATCAGTGACTACCACCCCTAACAAAGACATATACCAAAGTTATATTAACTTATTCTTCTGCAGATGTTTGCCATTTTTAATGTTTAGGGAAAACGTGCAATGCTTCACGTGAGTGAAAAAAACTTACTATACCATTCAAAGAATGTTTTTTTTTCTAATTATAGTGCTTCTGGCTACTTGAATTTCTAAGGAACTGAGAAAGAGGCATATTGTTTCATTTGTTATTACTTGGCGAAGGTGGAGAGCGTGTTTATATGTGCACCAAACTGTAACCAGATTATCATCCATCGCACACTGTAGCACGTTCATTTATGAACATACATGCTGAACTACTTTGACACTACAGCAAAGATGCTGTCATTCAATATTTCTGTTGGTCACTTATCAGTTGCTACATTCATCTTCCATATGCATTTTGCTGGTGTTTTTTCTCTATAGTTCTTAGCTTCTACAGTTATTTATATTAAAACAACATGCATTTAACTTAGTAGTTTTATAGGATATAAAGAAACAATGTTCTATCTATTAAAACTGCCAAGCATGCATATTTTATGTTTTATGAAATGTATTAGAAATATTTATAAACAAAAGAAATTATTTTAACTGAAAGATACATTTGTATATACTACAGAGAGAGCTTTGTTGGTAAAATATTTTTTAATTTGCGATGAAATAAACTGCGTGAAAACATGAAAAAGGAGAAAGGAACACTTTTAAAGCTTCCATAAGAATTTTCACAGTTGGTTTCTCAACTTGTAAATACTTTTGCTTTTGTGAAGTAATTTTGGTTGATGTTCTGTAAACTTATGTAACAAAATAAAAATCCAAAATGCTGAACAATAACTATTTAATGTCCTTCTCTTGAAGGTGTAACAAAGTTTGGGAACATTAGCAGGGTTGCAGAGCAAAAAAAGAGCTTGGTCATAAATGCTTTAACACTGTAATATTATAATATGATTGTCTATATCAATATGTAGCAGGGGAGTCCATTTCACATTTAAATTATTTAACTTTCAGGTTCTTCTGGTCCATTTCTATTTTGTTTCCTTAATTTAAACAAAAATTAGGAATTTAACACTTGAAGATACAGGGTCAGTCAGTCCTATAAGCTATATCTTCTGAGGAGTCGCTGACATGACAGCCGCCAAAGTGAAACTTGGAGATGAAGCTTGCCCAGGCCGGTACAGTGAAGATAACTACATAAACATTTCACCCATCTTCCATTCGCTTATCAAGTTACAACGGCGAATTATACATACGTAAGAAACCTTTTCTAAAATGTGTAACTCCTACACTTCACATCAGTAGTCATCAACTGGCCGACTCTGCTTGGCGTGATCTATACATTTCTGGCGATTACGGGCCATAATATGAGATATCCCTGTCCTTCACAGGGAACTCACACAACTGCATAATGAATGAAAGAATGAATGAATGAACACTCCTTTTGATCACGGATGTGAACTGCATTATCCAAAGTAAACCTATTCAAGCACAGGAGAACACTTTGTCTCTCTACATTTAAATGTATATTTAAATATTTTTATTACATAAAATTTATAATAAACCAAAAATTCTCACAGTGTAATGATTTGAGTTTATGATTAAACAAAACAATTTAAGTCGAAATATATAAGCGTTATAAACCTACGTGCTTAGATATAAAAAAAATCCAAACATAAACATGCATGCATATAAAGGAATGTATATTCCAAAATGGGAGCTACCCAACCCTTTCATTGTTTCAACATGCATGAAATATTAAATTTTGCGTTCTTTTTTATCACCATTCTTTCTGTTAGAAGTCTGTATTGCCGCAACAATCGTCCGTAAAGTTGCCGCACTGCTAACGGAGATAGAACTGGACGGGTTTCAGAAGTTTAGTACGAATAACAGGGAGGTACAATTGTGTCTTACCATATAATGTATTTGAGTAATATGGATAAAGTTTTAAGCTGTCCCTACTCTTATTTCCCAACATTCACCCGTAGTTCTACTTCGATCCCGCCCACCGTGACTAGACCAATTTCTGATTGGCTGAAACCTGCCGTATATGTCAGACACGTGATAGCTACTGGCGCGAGCCATGAAAGTGGTGTAGACCGTCAGATTGGTCGGAAGTGTAATTCGATTGCAGTTTTTCCTGCACATTAAATATATCTATAGGCATAGGACACTACTGTAAGGACTCGTTTTGTGTGACACCGTGTAAGAGGTAATTGTGAGTTTTTTTATGCTAAAAAGTGATGTCATTGCTCTTTGTCGGAGGTCGGGAGTCTACCTTTGGACTTGTGATGCTATTGCGATCGTAATTTGTTAGCATAATACTTAGCTTGTCTTTGATTATTCGCTAGTTTTTTTTTATTGGTTTAGTGTCGTTAATTACTTCACTGTCGCAGAATGGTAGTGGAACGAGATTCCTATCCATCTTGTTAGCTGTTTATCTGCACTTATTATCGCACTTACTAGCTACACAGACTGAACACATACAGTAGCAGGTACACATACTGTAGCATCTACTGTATCTCAATTCGTACATCCAGAAACCGTGACCACATGAAACGTTATTTAATGTCATCGAAATGTCCTCACTGAGTTTTTTTTATTCCAGATTAATCGCAAAAATACGCCATGCTGCTCTCTATGATGAATATGTGTGTAAGATGTTAGAAGTATTAAATCAACACGCTAGAGAAGGTGAGCTTTGATTTTGTGTTTACATATTGAACAAGTAAATGAGGTTATCATTATGTCAATATTTCTACCAGTATTTCTAAGCATTACAATGTCCTGATTAAGTTGTCTTTTTTTTTAACTGATGTCTTCTGTGTGAAGAATTGGGGACACTTTGTCCAGACTGGTTTGAGGTGCTGACTGTGAAAGCCTCCACCAAAGTTGAAGATGGGGACTCTGGTCAAAAACCTAGAAATTCCAGGTTCCCAAGTGAACAGGAGGCACCACTGGAGAAACCAGCTGCGTGCAGCCAGATGTTCTCCACACCCAAGATCTTTAGGGGTCAAGAGAGAATGTCACCCAAACCCATAACCCAAGATGAGGCCCTACACTGTAGTGAAAAGGGTGAGTTTAGATGCATTGTTGATGGGTCTGTTTTTAATAATGCCGGCATGCTGTGTGGTTCCGTACATCTACATGAAACTCACACAGATTTTCCTAATAAATGTATAGATGCAGATAGACGGCCAGAAAATTTGTATTGTGTGGATACCAGTCCTTGTTTATTTGGATCTACAAATACCAGGTATTTATACTTGTATGTCACCTAATGGATGTAAAGGGGTTTTCATTTGGCTGGCAAACTAATTCATGGGTAGCACTTTTATACTTTCATATAGTGGTGTAACAGTTCTGAAATGGCAAATGAAATCACCATACAAGCGTTCACGATCTCCTTTCGCAGTTCTGGAAGACAGAACCATGATATCCACAACCCGCAGGTGCAACTTGTTGTGCTCTCAGTTATGTTACTGATGTTGCAAAACTCATTTTTCATTTCGTAATTAACACTATAACACATGTAAATCATAAAATAATTCTGTTTAAAGTTATGGCAAACTGTATATTTTGTAAATTTTACACAACAATTCTTTTTTACTGTCTTCCAACTGTGTGTGTCACGTGACCTTTTTTTGGGTCAATCATGTTCAAGTGATCATGCCTGCGGTAAAAGCTAGGTGTTTTTTTTTTTTTTTTTTGCTATGCTAGTTAAATTAGGTCAAGGTGGATAATAACCATAAGATTACAGAGCAGCTGGGCGTATTCAGTTAAGTGTTGATAATCCAGATGAGTGTAGTATTTCATTTATTTCATTTACTAAGTTATGTGTCTATTAAAGAAATACATAAGGTAAGCCATAATGAAGAGTATATGACACATTCATCTTGTGTATTAGTGCCATTGCCGTGTCCCTAAATAGCTAAATACTTTTCTCAAGACTCAGGTTAATTGGGTTCTGTAATAATGGGAATCTTATTAAGATAAATGAATATGCATATTACGTATAAGAATATTGTTTTTCAGGAGTGCTGTCAGAAACCAACATAGAGGTCAACCATCAAAAGGTTTTCTTGGTAAGATTGCAAATTCATGGCCATTTTGGTAGTATTTTATTTCACAGTAAATACATTTGAATTCCTTTTAATTCAATAAAGGGCCTTTGCATCACCATTTTTGATTTTAATGCCCCTTTCACATATAACACCTATTCTTCATAATGGATAACAAAATTATAATTGAGTGATTTCACATGAGCTGTAACCTTTACTATTATAGCCACATGACTCAACTACAGCTTGTTGAAAAGTTCCAAGTGTGTTGGGCTTACAAGACTCTGAACTGACAAAAAGAATCACTGAAACTACGCCCTAATCTAAACCTCTCCTAATCTGCTTCTTTCATGAAAATGGCCTGAATTGTAGCCTAAAGTATGTATGGAAGGGGCATGGAAATGAAATTATTGTATAGGTTGTGAATTTTAGTTTTTTTTTCCCGCTCAAAGCCTCTTAACTCCTATACCCCTTTGAATAACAACACACTTTTTGTTTGAAAGCAGGTAAAGAATTGTTTCTTCCCAATCATATTGTATCCCTTTCCCCACATGCCTTTTTTGAGTCTCAAATGTAGTGTAGAAAAAAATGCCATATGTCAAAGGGGATGAAAAAATATATACATACAAACATTTCTGAGCTCAGGAAGTTATGTGTAATTCACATTACATTATTAAATTCACATTACATTAGTAATTAGTAATTAATTTTGGAAATTTACTAAATTTAAAAGGGAATGACCTTCCATAGTTTATCGTTATTATTTGCTGAAACTGCTGGAAGTTCATAAAAAGTGTCTTTTTTTTAACCCCCCACCCCCAGAAGACCTCTTGGACACACCAGGGAGCTCAATGGTATGTGCAAAACATTAATTATATATTTTTTTTAAATGCATAAAATCAAAATTAACATGCTGTTGCTCTCACTTGTCCTTTTTTCAGCCCACATCAGTGAAACGCATTTCTGAAAGCTTGGGAGCACAGATTGATCCTGATGTATCCTGGACCAGTTCTCTCAACACACCACCAGCTATGTCTCCCACGGTCATTCTCAGTAAGGAAATCATATCGCCTACAATGCCTACCTTATAAATGGTATTTTAATAGATTTGTGTCTGCAGTAATTAAGTTTTTTTTTTTTTTTTTTCTTCTCTCAGCTAAACCCGACAATAGTGCATGCTCCGTAACCTGCACTGGAGACAAGCGAGAGTTTGTAAGTAATTCCAATTGCTGCATAATTTTTTTTTAAATTGAGGAATACTTGTTTTTGTTAGGTGTTGCTACAGTAGGAAAAGGCTGATTACTTGATTCGATTTCTGCTCTTTTCTTTTACAGTTTGTACGGAAGCTCTTCCCCTCTCTTTCTGAAGCTTCTGGAATCCCAAACTCACTGGACAAAAACAAACAATTGCTGCTGTCTGGTGAGTTGCTACAGTTTACTTTCATTTATACCCTTACAATAGTTATAGCATTATGCCCGTTATGTAAATGACATATCCATTCATTATGCTTTTATGCCTGTTTATTCAGTACGAGGTCTTGGTGGGCCTTGAGTCTTTCCCAGAGCACACAGTCAGACACTGGCCAATTTAGAGCCACCAGTTCACCTAAACAGCATATTTTTCGACCAAGGGAGGAAACCAAAGTGGGGATAGCATGCGAGCTATGCAGATGCAAAGCCAGTCTACACTCTGGGGGTGTGAACCCACTGTGTTCAGTACTCAGCCAGCATGTTACCATACATAACATGTACATCATGTCTGAATTTCATTGTGTTTGTAATTTCAGATGCTATCTGCATTTTCAGTCATTTATATAAAGTGTCATGACAGTATTTCAACATTTTATCAACAGAAGATGTTGCCTGTTTGGATAAGAAGGACCGCTTTGGAGCATTCTCACCAGATGTGACAGTGAAGCCGAAATTGCCAGACGCCATTCAGGACAGGGAGGTCCGCAGCACAGTAGCCCGTGTCCTGGATGGAAATGAGGACGTTATCTCGTTTTTTTTCAGTAACAGTAGCAGCAGTTCATTGAGGAAAGTGAAACCTGGGGAGGGAGTGAAGAGGAAAGAGGGTAATTCAATACGGAATGGATTAGCAACTAGTGTCTTGAATGTGGCCTCCAGAGACACCAGGCCGGAGATTCGCATGCAGCCTATCAAAAAACCGGGAGATGAATCCCAGCTGATGGTGGATTGTTCTGTCCCATGGACTCCAATGACTTTGCCTGATTCAATATTACAGCCTTTGCCAAAAGAGGACACTACTGTTCACACAGACATATCAGTCAAACAGCTGGTTGGTCGGATTTTACCTAAAGTTCCTCCAGCATGTAGTGAGAGTGATGCAATGGAGAGTGCTTCTCCAGTACAGTGTGATTCTGTTGTTCCTCAATGGAAAAATATTGTAAAAAGTCAAGGAAATAACAGAGAACAGTGTCCCAGTCCTTCTAAAACAGAGACTAGGGAAGCAGAGGGGGGGGAAATGGGACATTTGACCACAGATGAGCTCCTACTCAGTGTTCAGCTGCCTAATGTTAACATGAGCTGTAACCCAGCTGGAGATTTCACAGGAGACGCGGCCATAGAGAAACCATCTCAACACAATGTAGAGGGACAGAAAGAAGTGTCAGTCTCACAGGCTGCTGAGTCTCTGGCTGAGGACTCATTGAAAAGCTGTTCTCCTGCGATGCCTGTTCAGAAACCTTCCAGGAAGTTTGTCTATTCTCTGCTAACTCCTAGCCCATCCAGTCATACAGTCCAAAGCTCAAGAACCTATCAGCAGTCTGATTGTACATTGCCTACACTTTCAGGTAAGACTCTAAATTTGCTTTTGTATTGTTAATTAGATCAATAACTTTATTGATCATTTTTATCAGTAGCTGGGGGTTCTTATTTTTTCTTTTCTCTTTTTCAGAAAGTTCAGCAGTTCAGCGGCAATCTCATTGTGTTGTATCATGCAGTGATGGAGAAGAATGTGCTGGTGTCACGGACATGTTGGATTTAAAAAATCGTGTGTTTGAAAAACATGACCGTACAGCAGCAGAAAATGCTGTGCTTAAAGTTTCATGCCAGGAGAATGATGACCAGGCACGTGCTGCTTTTACAGAGGAGCTTAAGAAGGATGTCCCCTCTGGCAAAGACTGCATCAGCGAGACCGCTTTCCAGACAGCTGCCCAGAATGGCTGCATGGACACACCTTGCTTTGCCACTCAGGGACAGATGGACAGATATCTACCGGAAACATCAAATGAAACCGAGCCAAACGAAACAATTGAGTTGACAGCTGACCAGCAGAATGCCTCTGCTAAGAGTGGCCTTAGTCCTGAACCAGTATGGGCCACAAAACAGATTATAGTGGACTATAATAACTATAGTGACTGCATATCTAACGCAGTAAATGAACTGAGTAGTCAAAGGCAAGACAGCAGCTACCATACCACTCTGTCTGATGTTTCCCATGTTCCTAGGTTATTAGATGATATCAGCCCTGGAAAAGGAAGACTGGAGGTTGGTTTCAGAACTGCTAGCGAGAAGATCATTGTTTTGCCATTTGAGGCAATACAGAGAGCAAAAGTTTTACTCAACGAAGCAGCAGATGGCGACCTCACAGGAAAAGCCATTGGTCAGAAAAACCTGTCAGTAAATTCAATGGCTCACAACACAATGCAAGCCAAAGAATCTGACATCAAAAGCAACTGCCAGAGCCTGCAGGATCTCACTAAATATCCTGAGAATGTTATGGTGGAAGTGGGGCCGCTGTATAGATCTGATGCTGAGAGAGCCATTAATGTCCACAGTAATTCCAGTAGGCAGTCTTCAACAACCAAAATTACTGGTTTCAAAACTGCCTCTAACAGTGCAATTCATGTGTCCTCTACAAATCTCAAGAAAGCCAGGGAGTTGCTTGATGAGACAGATTATGGGAAACATGCAGAGAAATATTCAACCCCCACTGGTGCAAAAAATGGACAAGGAATGACAGAAGAGGAAGACTGCAAACCTAAACCCTCTGCAGCACCAGTGGCTGCAGTCTTGTCTCCTGCTCATCCCTCTGCAAAGGGTTGCTTGGAAGCTCACTGTTTTCTGACTGCCTCGCAGAAGGCAGATGTTACTGCGCTCTGCAGCCTTCTGGAAGAGGCAGACAGTCAATTTGAATTCACACAGTTTAAGCAAATAAATACGGACTCTAGCAGCACAGGTGTGGCTCCTCCAGGCAGTCAAAGTGATGAAGAAGTAGATCCTGATTTTTTGACAGGAATAGATTTCAATGATAGTTTCACCACCCTTGGACAAGTGACAAGACGGCAATCGGCTATAACTGAAGTAACAGTGCTGGATGAACCCACAGAAAATTCTGACCTAAAGCACAATGGACAAAAATTCAATGTTACAGGTGAAGCTGAGGCAATTTCAAGCGGTGCTTTAAACAACATGATTGACAAAGGCACAGTGAAATCTTTGCACCCTAAGGATATGGATAGATTATTTGTCCCAGGTGTCATAGCCAACTCCAGAAACTGTGGTGGTTTTTACTCAGCTCAGGGTGTGAAAATTACTGTTTCAATGGAACGTCTCAAAGAGGCTTCAGGTGTATTTGATGGTCTAGATGTTCTCTGTACTTCTGCCTTAAATTCTGGTGAGGATTTGGGTTTATCAGCAGAGAAACCAAGTGCATTGCAAACTGACAGCATTGTGAAACGTGCAAAGCAAGACACTCTACAAAAGGTATCTTATTGCCCTAATGAACAGCATGAGTCATGCAAAGAAAAAATGAAGGAATTTTCAAAAAAGGACTTTACCTCATCTGTGGTGGAGACAGGTAAATATATTGAGAGTGACTTTAATGAAATGAGAAAAACTGGAAATATTACTGGCATCACTCCACATTTCGTGGGCTTCAAAACAGCTGGAGGAAATGCTGTGAGTGTGTCTGAGAGAGCTCTTAGCAAAGCAGCAGCAATATTTGCAGACTTAGAAGAAGTAAAGGCAAGTACAGATGAAGTAGGACATCAACTGCCTATTGAAAATCAAAAAAGGAAAAATACTCCGATAAAAATCCACGACTCACAGGCAAAGTGTGGTGACTTCATTCTTAACGTTACTGACAAACTGCAAGTTGGATTAAATGAGCTGGAAGAGAAAATGAGCAGCAATTCGAAAGATGCGATAAACATCGATTATGGTGTAGGGTATGTTTCCAAAAAAATAAATGTGGAAATAAACAACATTGCTGATAAATTAGCTGATGTAGATCCCTGCCAGACCAGCATAAAAGCACGATCTAATTGTGAAAACATTGCAAAAAGCAACCTTCTAGATAATGATGAGTTAAAGTATGTTGAAGATATACATTTTCCTAAGGTACATCAGAATGTCGATACTAAATTTAAATGCCCTTTTCTAAAAACTCCAGAATATGAAAATTCGGTAGCAGGTTGTAGGCTGGTTTTGTCTTGTGATCTTCAGGGAAAAGGAGGAGGTTTTACGACAGCTAGTGGTAAAATGGTGTCCATTTCAGATACAGCGCTTCAGCAAGCAAAAGCCATATTCAAAGATTGTATTGATTCTCCGGGTTGTGAAACAACAGGTGATGTCCAATGTGAAATGAGTCCTAGAAAGATTAATACAGTCAAAAGAAGAAAGGAGTGTCCAAGTGCCGATGAGGTGCCTGTGTCACCACAAAGTCCACAAGAAAAAGCTCATCTCAAGGACAAGAACAGCTCAATGGTCAATGAAGCAGGTACTGAAATGCAGAGAATAAGTGTAATGTCACGCCTTACTCCAGGGACAAGCCATTGTGGGTTTAGCACTGCAAGTGGGAAAAGGGTGTGTGTCTCTGAAACTGCTTTGCTGAAAGCCAGGACCTTTCTTGAATCTGATGAAGAATTTCTTAAGAATCCCAAAGAGCATGTCACAACAGAACATAAGGGAGTTTCAAGTCTAAACATTCCACTTAAAAGTGGCTGTGCTTTCAGTACAGCTAGTGGTAAAAGGGTGTCCATTTCCACAAAATCCCTTCAGGAAGCAAAAGTTTTGTTTTCTGACATGGAAAGTGCTTCATTGTGGGAATCTGGAGCAGAAGCCAATGAAGAGAGCAAGAGAAAGGAATTTAGTATTTGTCCTTCTGATTCAGGGAAAAGTAATTGTGGGTTCAGCACTGCTAGTGGAAAGAAGGTGTCCGTGTCTGAAAAAAGCCTCATGAAAGCGAAGACTCTTCTTGATCAGAATGATGAAAAAATGGGGCAAGAGAAATGTGGTGAAACAGACAGTTTTATAGCGAATTTGTCAGCAATGCACACCACGGACAGCAATATACAAGCGTCTCTTTCAGCAAAAACAATAAATTGCAGAATTTTTAGGTCTAGCACCTGTCAAGAAAACAGCCTATGTTCAGAAATTCAGGCAAAGAAAAATGTTAATGTTGGAGCCTCCTACAGTGATCCAAGAACACAGCAGTCTAGTTTAACGAACTGTGATGGCAGTTTAGAAGTAATAGTGAGTGCAAAGAAGAATGAAGTAACAGTAAATGAAAAAAGCTCTGGTTGTGCTCAGTATTCAGACGATGTGCCTCGTGGTGACAGAACGATTACTTCAGTCTCTCCTGTATCATATGATTGCTCAGCAGCTGTGCTAGAGAAGCGTGATGAAATTGAACAAAACAGAGACATTCCCCTTCAGGTGCTTGGTGCAGAACAAACAGGGACACCAAAAATACATCAGAATTGCTTGCCCTCTTCAGGAACAACTGTAGACGATTTCTCCCCACTTAACCTGCAGTCCCTGGGCCTTGGATATTGCACAGAAACTCAGCAGCAGTACTTTGAGCAGGAGGCTATGGCTTGCACAAAGGCCCTTCTTCAGGATGAGGATGAGGCTGCGAATAGGAGAATTTCTCAAAAGGTTTCTAAAGAATCATCTTGTGGACCAAGAACTGCTTCCAAGTTTAATGACACGCATCACTCTGAGGAACAGAAACTGAGAAATGGAAAAAGGCTTCGAGCAATGGACTCTGCTTTGAAAGGTGAACTTTAGCTTTATACGAAATCCATTATCTCCCTTCAGTATGATCGCATCTTATCCAGTTAAAGGGGTAAAACCTGGTACCTTTGAATTATAAGGATTTATCTTGAGACTGCACACTTCCATTTATAAAAGTAAAAATTATACCTGCCATCGGCACCCTGTATAATAATGGATTACTGATTTTTTTTTTTAAATTTTTATAAACAGGTCAACCCCCTCTGAAAAGGCAGCTTTTGGAAGAATTTGACAGAACTTCAGTTGGTGGAACATGCTCTTTCCTGGTTCCCCTAAAAAGCAGCCCAGATGGTGATGAGACCTGAATTATATCAATGAGCAATTCGCTACATAAGTTTCCTATGTTAATCTTCCCTTTCTTTGTTCCAGGTACACTAAAAGACCGAAGAACCTTCAGGTACAGCATGCCCCTCCAGCCTAATGTGACCCGACCCTTTGGGTAAGCCTTCAAATTAAACAGAAGGGAGAATACTATGTGAATTTGAAACTCTGAATTTTAATAACACTCAATTTATATTCCTCAGTGATAAAACTTTGCTGGAACAAAGGGCGAGGAAGGACTCGTCCCTCCTGAACAGCAGATGTGGGAATCCCCAGGACGCTGCTTTTGTGCCTCCTTTTCGGAAGCCACCCGAACCAAAAGATGCTGTGTCTCATGGTCCAAGTAGGCACTCGGGTGTCTTCATACCCCCTTTCAAAAACAGAAACCTCAGGATGAACAGCAGTCTGCAAGAGAGTGTAACTCAGGTCCAGAATGGCAGGAAATCTCCCGGATCTGTTGCAGAACCAAGCAAATATATTCCTCCTGCCAAGCGGAGATCAGAGCCAATACCCTCAACAAAAACCAGTTCAGAAGGTGTTTGTGGCCACAAGGCTAATCCCAACAATGACATTGTTGAAAAATGTGAAGAAAAGGGATTGGAACAAGGGATCCCAAGTGCACGTCCCGCCTCACCGTATGGAAACACTGTTCAAGTTTCTGGTAATCTTTTTTCTTTTACCTAATAGCATAGTCATGAGGGAACAGAGCACACAATAAGAGCACAATTGGTTTAAAAGTGTCTCAGAATTACAGTCTGTGCTGGATTAGCCTGACTTAGGAATCATGGTTGTCAGTAGATGCAGGGTTGCAGGGTCTCGAGAGCCTGCGACATACCCGAGACCTTCAGGACATGAGAATCATGAAGAAGAAGCGGCAGACCATTAGACCCCAGCCGGGAAGTCTCCTCCTGGCAAAGACTTCCGGGAAGACGAGGTTGTCCTTAAGAAGTGCATTTGGAGGAGGCTGTCCAGTCAGGCATTCCCAAGAGGAGGTAGGCCACGCCATGCTGGCTAGAATCACCCCCCTTTCTGCATTACCGTAAATAATGGTAGTGCGATAGTCATATCTCTTATGTAAGTCAAGATATTAATTTCCCAAACTTCCTATGACCAGTTTTTTTCTTAATACTGCACATAATATAATAATTCTTTTATCCTTAACTGTAATTTATGTATGCTCTTTTATATGTCAGATGATTTTTTATTTATTTTTAATTTTTTTTAACCCTTTTCATGTTTTTTTTCCTTCAGCTGTATAAGTATGGTGTCCACCAGGGAGTTTTCCAGATCAGCAGCGAAAACGCAGAGTCCTTCCGTTTCCGCTATGCTGACTACTTCTGCCAGGAAACGCTGATTGCAGAGGGGGGTGTTCAGCTGGCCGATGGTGGTTGGCTCATACCTGATAATGGGGGCACTGTGGGGAAAGAGGAGTTTTACAGGTGTGAAATTCAGCAGTTGAAGACTGAGTAGTGCCTGAGTAATGGTGTGGAATTCTGATATTTAAAGTGCAGTCATTCAAGGCATGGAATGAATTGTTTAACTGTTAATTGCCTTTCTTTGGATGCCTGTGTGTCACCATAGGGCCCTGTGTGACACCCCTGGTGTGGACCCCAAATTAATAAGTGAAAGCTGGGTATACAATCACTATAGGTGGGTGGTTTGGAAACTGGCTTCTATGGAAAGGTCCTTCCCCAGAGTGATGGGCAGCCTGGGTCTCACCCCACAGCGGGTCCTGCTGCAGCTGAAGTACAGGTACTATATTATATACACATCTGTGTGTGTTTAATATACAGTGCAGTGCAAAAATCTGAGCATATATGCAAATGAAGAGTAACAGTAAAATATAAGAAGGATTTCTTCTGTTCTGCAAAAAGTTACTGATACCTAGTTGAATGGCTAGATAAGCAGCGCTTCAGGTGCCAAACCTCTCCTCAGGGGCACCCCAGCCATTCCCTGTATTTGTTAAATTCCACCACCAGCTCACTTCACTCAGCTGAATAATTTGCAATATGCTAATGACTGAGTCAGTAAACACATGGGTATATCAGGTGGTTGCTGCAAATACTGTGGTAACTTTACGAGAGGTTCAAAATCAGAGTTTCACATCATTTTACACCTCAGCCACTTTTCAGGCTGTCTGACATGCCTTGACATTTTTAAATATTTCACCTATCTAAAAAATATTTATCTTAGTGCTACATTTGTTTGTATTCTGCACAAACTCAGCACCTATAATCTGAGACCATTTAAAATGTCAGTCTATTTTTTTTTTTGTTTAAAGCAACTGTAAACATACACTTTTCATCATTAAACAATTTTCGTTGACTGCCTAAGACATTTGCACTGTACTGTACAGTATATTTCAATTTTTTAATACAATTGATTGCCGATTCGAGCATAGAGCACGTTGTTCTTATTTTTAAAAATCTGTTTTGGATTTCCTTCAGGTATGACCTTGAGATTGATCAGAGTCGGCGGTCGGCATTGAGAAAGATTATGGAGAGGGATGACACTCCTGCAAAGACCATGGTCCTCTGCATCTGTGGCATCGTTTCGACCGGTTCAGACCGCACCAAGAGAAAGACCACCCAGGGTGCGGACGCCAAGGTGGATTCGACCACGGGACTCATTTGGGTCACAGATGGGTGGTACTGCATCAAGGCACTGCTGGACACCCCACTAACAGTAATGGTGCAGAAAGGTCGTCTCACAGTAGGTGTGAAAGTCGTGACCCATGGAGCTGAATTGGTTGGATCCCAAGATGCTTGTACCCCTTTGGAGGCACCATCAAACCTCATGCTCAAGGTAAGAACCCACTGAAAGAATACAGTATTGCAGCATACATTTCTCATTAAACTGTATTGCATTCATGTTCCTGCAGGTGTCCTTTAGGTAGTCTACAAGCATGCTTTAAGGTGTGATTGTGTGCTTCACTCATGTCTGTGTATAAGTCAAAGCCCTCTGATGGACTCGTATGTCATACAGGTTGTCCCCTGGGCTCATGCTTATTGGACAGGCACCCCCTGCTGGATAAGCAGTTATAGAAAGTAGATGGATAGATGTAGCCAACTTTGCTTAAAAGAACAAAAAACTCAGGACTTTACCAGGGGTTTAAGGTAGGAAAGTGCTGGTTCGTAATGCAGTACTTTAATCACTATTCCCTGTGTTAAATGTCATGGTTTCAGATTTCAGCCAACAGCACCAGAGTAGCAAGATGGGACACCAAGCTAGGCTACCACCATGACCCTCGCCCACTGAAGCTTCGGCTGTCTTCTCTGTATAGCAATGGAGGCCCAGTGGGCTGTGTTGAAATAATTGTGCTTAGAAGTTACCCGACCCAGGTGCGTTACGGCCGATTAAGAGCACAGTCGCGGCTTGTTTTGAGAGACGCATCTAAAGAATGTTCACGTTTTCACCCAGTGGATGGAAAAGAAACCAGACGGAGCCTATGTGTTCCGCAGTGGACGCGCGGAAGAAAGAGAAGTTCAGAGACACAGTGCTAGCAAGCAGAAAACCATGGAGACTCTCTTCGCAAAGATTCAGGCCCAGTTTGAGAAGGACCAGGCAGGCACGTACCTCAGTTATTTTCCTGAAAAACAAGAACTGAACTACTGAATTTCACTGAAGGCAATTGTACCAATCAGCATTCATATTACAGCCAGGAACAGATGCAAAAGCAAAGGGAAGAGGTTGAGTTGCCAGGAAATCGAAGCTCTGCAGGACGGAGAGGATTTACACGAAGTCGTAGACAATGATCCTACTGGCGTAGAGGTGAAGGATGTCTGCCATCCTGTCATTTCTGTGGGGCTTTTCTTTTTAATTTCCTGGAAAAGGAAATGTTCACCTTAGCACTTCTGTGCATCAGGCTTTGCTGAGTGAGAAGCAGCTGGAGATCCTGAGCAGCTACAGACAGTCCCTGGAGCAGTCGTAGGCCGTAAGGGCCTGGCTCCGGAGCCTGACGCTGATACAGACAGTCCCTGGAGCAGAAGAAACGGGATGAGTTGCAGGAGCGATTCCACCAGGCCCTGGAGGAGACCCAGAAGGGACAGGGGAGCTTGAGTGACAGGGAGGTCACACCAGTATGGAGGCTGCGTGTGTCCAACTGCTGGGAGACACCAGATGGCAGTGGTGAGCATTACCTCCTGCCATGGTCCTGTTTTTGCTTAGAGAATGTGGAGCAGTAATATTGTCTGTGTCATAATGAGTCCATAAGGGCAAGTGTGCTAGTAGGGAGAGTACTGGATAATACGTTACCAACCACATTTACAAAAGTCATCAAGTTAATTATGGGCTATCAAAATGGCTCAAAAAAAAAAAGTAATTTAAATGATTTTAAACATGGCATTGTGTTCACCTAACATGCATGTGTGTTCAGATTCATTGAAAGTTGTCACAGAAATGTCAGCTGCTCTGTAATTGAACTGTAAGTTTTATGTGTATATTAGCACTGTGAAGAGCTCCATCCATCAAGGTGTACAGCAGTGTAATTGGGCCAACAGGAAGTTCAGCTGCACAACTCTGATCCCTGCCGTCACCGTGACCACTTACCCCGCAAGCGGCCGACCACATGACAATTAGCAATTTTTTGCAGGGTGCTTGTTGAATATCTGGCGACCGTCCTCAGAGCTGCAGACTTTACTGAAGGAGGGAAGCAGGTACAAGGTGTACCAGCTAGCCACGTCGGAGGGCAGGAAGTTCAGCGGCAGCACAAACCTGCAGCTAACTGCCACCAAGAGAACGCGCTTCCAGCACGTTCAGGTATCAGCAAAGTGGCACCCATGTTCCTTCTACTACATTAAGTTCTTGCAGCCAAATGGAACAGAGAAAAAAATAAAACATGTGCAGGAGCAGTATTTTGTGTTGCTGGCAGAAGATAATTCTTTTATCTTGTGAACTGTAGATGTATCTAATCTTCCAGGCATCCCCAGAAAGGCTGACTGAACTCTTCCAGCCCAGAGCATCTGTTAGCTTTGGGGCGCTCATGACCCCTGGGTTCCGCCCCCTGTACGGGGAGGTAGATGTTGTTGGCTATGTCATCTCCGTCGCTGACAGACACGGTAAGTCCCACGGCCGCCTCTGACCCAAGCCCCCCCCCACAGAGAAGCTTTAGCCCCCGGCTCATTCCACCACATCATGCTAAGAAGCACTATTGGAGATCCTCCCTACCCGCTGGCACTGGGCATTACCAGGCCTCTTGCTGATGTGCCAGCCCTCTCCCACAGCCATAACACATGCCAAGACAGACTGGCACTACATTAGCTGCACATACATCCATCCGTCAATTTATTTCTATTTCTGTATTTATTCCCTGCACAATATTCTGTTTGTGTGCCGTCATCTGTTTTCAGTGTAACTACTTTCGTGTTTTGTGCTCTAAGTATATATGTTATGTACAGTGGGCTCCCTCATCTAAGATTTCAGTTATGTGAGGTCAACCTCGGTTCAAAAATATTAATGGAAAATTCTAGAAATAAACAATAATAGTTTTAAATTGTATGCCGTTCTGAGTAGCGTGATGAAATGTTACACCGTCTCGCCCAGGATGTGAACCATCCCTTCATGCAACCTGCTCGTTATTCGCTTAGTAGCCGTCTCAGTTATCGGACCGACTGTCCTGGTGTAGTACAGCTTGTCATCAACTTGTGTCCATGATCAGTTTTGACTGACTGGTTGTAAGTCGATTTGGGAATAAGTCAGCCCTTTATTTTATGTGCAAAAATTGTCATATGCATAGTATACTGTATAAAAATTATATCATCTTTAAGTCATGGTTTATTTTTTTTTAACCTTTTTATCACCATTTTCTTAGTTGATTGCTGCTGGCAGTTGGGGTAGAAACGTACACTCACGCTGTCCGGTGTGACGCAGTCGTGGCCACATATTGGTTATATTGTTAGTTCTTCTATTATTATTAGTTATTGCTATTAATGACTTATTGTGCCTAATTGTATCATAGGTATGTATATGTAGGGGAAAACATACAGGGTTTAGTATTATCCATGTTTTCAGGCATCTGCTGGGGGTCTTGGAACACATCCTCCGTGGATGGAACACATACTCGCTGTTTAATGTTCGAGGGATTTCCCTGGTATCAGTGAGGTATACTCTACCAGTCAGTGCTACTCACTTAACATTTACTAAAAATACACTCAGTCTTCTTTGCTAACAAATAAATTTACAGTATGTTCACCATGTGAGTACCTTTATTAGCAAGAAAATGTCATATCCTTGATTCATCAAAGTAACCTCTTCTATGATAAAATTTGAGGCATTCAAGAGACATTAAATACTGCTCTGTTTCCTGGGTTGAAACAGTTAATTAGTGCATTTAAAGTTAAATGACAGCCTAGAATCTGATTTTGCGATCACCACACAGCCAGGTAACAGGATGTCAGACATGCACTGTTACATCCCCTTTCCATGTTATAAATTAAACTTATTTTATTTGATTTATAGATGTTCAGTTAACTTTCCAATGTTTAACAAGAATAAAACATCTGCAGTTTATGAAATAAATGGAGAAGTGGTAAAACCCTGAGGTGTACGCAAACTTTTGACTGGTAGTGTATCTTGTCATTTTGAATCTGATATTAAATGAAAGGGATTGTGGGTGTGGTCATCTGTGTGTGGGGCGGGAGGGGGGGGGGTGACCACCGGACTGAGCTGAGACAGATCCCCTGTGTGCAGGTGTCTCCCCTGTGATTTACCTGGCTGACGAGCAGCTGCGCCTCGTGGCTGTCCGGGTCTCCTGCAGCCTGCTGCAGCTGGCCCTGGGAGAAGTGGTGCAGTCCCAGGCCCTGCTGGCCCTGAGCAACCTGCAGCCGCGCTGCCAGGCGCCCGTGCCCGTCCTCTACGCTGGCGATCTGGCCCTTGTTTCTGCTAAACCTAAAGAGCCACACCAGCAGGAGGCCAGTGAGCGTTTGAGGAACGCTGTCCAGGTACAGACCAAACAGACGTCCCTTAGACGCTATTGAGGAGAGGTCCTAAGTCCTGTTCCTGTGTAGCCAGCGTGCATGCAGGGTGTCATGCATGCTAATGAATGAATCATGAAACTGAAATATGGAATTAAATGAACCATCCCTCCCTGTCTCACAGAAGATATTGGATTAAATAGCGGTGATACCTCTCAGACCAGGAGGGGTCCCCTTCTGCACTGTACTTTTGTGACACCCTGAAGGGTCCCATTTTTTGTGTTCTTAGTAAGCTAAGCCAAGCCTGGAATATTTATAATTTTTTTTACTTCTTTTGTGGCAGGGCTCTGAGCATTTCTTTAAGCTTGCAGAGGAGAAACTCTTCAGCCTGATCCATTCAAATGGATCGTATTTGCCGCCTCCTAATGGTCCGATTCTTGCTCCCAAAACACCGACCTGGAACGCACGACAACAAGGCATGAATAGTGTAAGGATTTCTAAGCAGTTCCTGATAACGGTTTCCCCTTTAAATTCATCCTCTCCGTTTTGACTGGTAGTTTTATTGCTTTAAATGAAGCCACTCCATGTGGCATATTTCTTTTCCAAGTGTTCAGTGCGTTTTGTTATGCGTGTCTTACAGGAGACTGGGCCGACCCCTCAGAAATCAGCACAGACGGTTGGGCCTGTCACGCCCGTGAACAGGAAGGCCCCCCCAGAGGGCAGCTCCTCAGTGGACAGGGACCCCAAGAGCATAAAGAGGAAGCGTGGATTAGACTACTTATCCCACATTCCTTCTCCTCCCCCCCTCCAGCTGCTGAAGACCAGCATGTCGCCCGCTGTAAAAAAGACCTTCCACCCACCACGACGGTCAGAGACCCCCGCTCCGGTGAGCAGGCAGCAGCAGACACCACCCATAGCTAAGCCAGTGGAGGGTGAGTGGGTGAGCGATGAAGAGCTGGCCATGATCAATACACAGGCCCTGCTTGACGGGTCGGGCCTGCAGAATCAGGAGTGATCAGGCCAGAATATCAGGAAGCATTATAGCCAATGGGCATGTTCCTTTGCCATGCGAGTCAAGGGCCAAACCCCCATCTCTTTTGGGCCAGGCTGATGTTTCCATAAGTATGTGAATGATATGTATTGTAATATTGGACATCAGCACTTAAGAAAAGGTTGTATTTGTTTTTGTTTTTTTTTTGTTGCTGTTGTTGTTTTTTGTGACTTGTAGAGGTTTGTATTTATTTGGTGGTTTCTTTAATAACTACTGTAAATACGATGTATAAGAGTGAATTCACCTTGCTCTGAGTGACCTGTCACTGTTTTGGTTGTTGCCTAGTTGTTGCTCATTGTGTAAATATTTGAATAAATTGTGTAAGTGATTAACGTGTTTGTGTCTTGGTGTTAATCACGTGTTTATTTCCAAAGACAGAAATACACTGGCAAGGCAGACTGGGTCTATGTCACGCGAACCGGGATCATTTGCATAAATACAGCGGAAATAGAAACGAGGGGGGGAAGTTATCCGCCGATACACAGGAACAGATAGACGGGGCTGCATGTTTACTTCCGGTATGAGGGCCGGCCGACGCGCCGCTTGGTGGGGATCGCATGCGTCTAAATAATGTGCATCTCCCAGAATAATCCAGGGTAAGAGTGTCTGCGTGTACAGCAACCTTCATTTTAATGTGACTTAAAGTAGCGAAGATGCTTAAACGATTCAACGGAGCTTGTTTCCGGAAAAAAAATCAAAGCGTAAGCAAACTGTCGAGGTGTTTAAAATGTTCTTTAAATTAAGTCCGGTTTGCTGTTAATTTAATTAAACTTGAGAATGTTGCAGGTGTAACATGCCTTTCATGTAGTACTGCTGCCGTAGCAGTGATTAAGCGTGTAGGCGCTAATATCCGGAGCTGTACTGGCGGCTTGGTTTGCGGTGGCCGATCGTTCCAGATCAAGTCACATTGCAGCTTATTATCGTTTTAAATTAGTTAAATGAATGCGCTTAAGTTTGGCCCGATTGTTTCGAAATTAACCTTCACGTATTAGATCTATTCATACATTTTGTCAAAAATATAATAAACATCAAGATTCTTACCAAAGGCTACTTCCACCGTAGCAACGTAACAAAACTGAAAGTAACCACCAACTGACAATACAACAAAACAAGAAGTAACTTTAGATAATACATTTGGTCATAAATAAAACTAAGTTTTTAGATGTGCAGTCACTTTACACTTACACGGTTTACGTAACGCATTGACATTGGTAGTTTGGTGTAACTGCACAGCAATAGCGCATCAGTGAAAGTCAACATGGATGCGCTTTACTGCATCAGAAGGAAAAGCAGGTCATTCTGTAGGAAACAATTTTGAGACATATTAGTTTGGACAGAAAAGCTGAACGTTTTACAAAGTTTTATGCTTCTGAAGTAAAATATTAATTTATATTAATATTTAAGAAGGGCGTGACTCTCACGCTCGCAAGAAATCTTACGGCAAATCTATATTATTCCATTCCATATTATAAACCTAAAATTCGCTGCATCAAAAGTGTTTGGGGTAGTTTGCAAAACATACAGACTATTTACCGGCTAATAAAACCATTACATACATGTGAATGCTTATGTATGTGAGTGCAGATTCGAATTGAAAATCTCTCCAGCCAACTGACCAAAGTTGGCAACCCTGGTGTAAATATCTCACACACTTAAAAATGCTCATGAATATGGCTGTCCTGCTTTCTTTCAAAGTATCTATTATGTTATATAATATTATATATTATATTTTCATTGACTTTGCCTGTCCCTTTCAGATGCTTAATCTTTGTTCTAGTGCATCTGTGACTGATGCTGAAGACAGAGGTGTAAGAGAACCTCTGGCAAGCAAAGTTCAGACATGTGTTCAGGATACTGACGCCGTTCGTGTCAAGAATGAAGAGGAGACTGTTGTGAGGCTGGATGGACCTCCAGAGGCTGCTGTCACAGAAAGGCTCCCCATCGCTGAGGACAGAAATCCGCAAGAGGCTCGAGAACAAAGCGTCGGATCACAGGGTCAATCCAGTGATACGATAAATGACAGTTCACTGATTAAATGTGTGTCTGGAAGGTCAGCTTGCTCTTCACCCAAAGTAGAAGATGTACTTTCAAAGAAGGATCAGGATCAGGGTGAAGGAGCAAGAACCCTGGGAAGTGGGAGTCCAGGCAGGAAGGATGGAAGGCTGGTGGATGGGCAGTGGGTCATCCGGAGCACAGCCTTCATCGGGCCGATGTGCCGGCCTGAACCGGCTGAGTCCAAGGGAGACCTGGATGACAAACTGAGTGAATTTTACAAGGAACTGGAAGAGATGGAACCTGCAGAAACTCCTGACATCAGCACAGACAAAGTTGACAGCCACGTTGAAGCAAAGAAATCCATAAACTCGACTCCTTCAGAAGAAGGGTTTCATGTCAGCAGAGGTCCCAGACCTTATCGTCGGCCTTATATGTACCGGGACGCCCCTAACGAGGAATGGCATTCCTGGAAACGTAGGCGCGACTTCCGTTATGGCCCAGATCACAGCAGCTGGGATCCCTATTATCAGAACCAGTGGCAGCATCCCCCACCGTTTGGGGGTCCTCCCTGCCCCCCATATCCAAGGTTTGGTGAGCCTAAGTTTTATGGGCCTCCCAAGTTCCCACCACCGCCAAATCCCTTATACCATCCAGCTTTTAGGCCGCATATGAGTACTTTCTATGACTCCCCTCCTATAGCAGAATGGGAGCAGCCGTTCCCACCGGGGTCTGACTTTGCAGGTTATGATGGCTATGGTGATCACTACTCTTCCCAGGGCTATGGTGAAAGCTTTTATCCCCCGTATGATTTGGAAAACAATCAAGCCAATGGTTGTTCCAGCCACGGAAGCCGACCCTGGTTTCAATCATATGAACAAGATGGTTCTGACTATAGAATTTGTCCTGATATAGAATTTGGGCCCCAGCAGCATCATCTCAATGAAGAGTTTTGTGAGCCATCAGACTCAAAAAAAGGTTTCCATGGTTCCTCGTTAGTTCTGATCCTGATGAGAGGTCTACCAGGGTCTGGAAAGTCAACTTTAGCCCAGTGAGTTCTCAGATAATCTGTTTTTATCCACAGAGTTGTACCTCCACAAAACAGTTGAACTACTCCGTTGGTTCAGACTCCATTGCTAGTGCTGCTGTGTTTTATTTTCTACAATTCAGGATGTAGTAATATTTCACCAGCAGGAATAAATCATGTGTAGAAAAATATTTGAATTTTTGAATCATTGTGAAGTGTGTAGAATTTATTGTGTATATTTTAATATTAAGCTATACCGTATTTGGAAATGGAATTTACGCTCTTGTTAAATACCTGCTTTTTTGTTAATTCCAAAGTTAATTAATTACACCCATTAAATACAACCATTATAATGGTTGCAACTGTAAAATACATAACCTTTTTATACATATACAGTGGTACCTCAGTTCTCGAACTCATTAGAACTTGAATTTCTTAGAAGTCGAACCAACCACTTCGGAAAAAAATTACCTAGAGCTTGATCTGAATCTCAGAAGTCAAACCATGAACGCCGACCTAAGAGAACTTGTAAGCGCGGGGAAATGACTCACGCGGCACGTCTCTCAGCAGAAAAAAAGGGCAAAGCTTCAGTATCATCCTCGCATTCGCTATGATAGCATCGTGCATGTTTACACAAGCTGAATACATATATTTAGACAGTAAAAATACATTTAGACAATGATAGACAGTAACAGTAATTATTATATAATAAAATACATTTTAAAATAAAGATTTCTGTATTAATTATTTTAATATTAATAATAAACCATTAATACATTTAATTGTAATATTGTCGTGCCGAGCGGGGATGGAACGGAGACAAAGGCACAGACATCAGGACACATTGTTTTTTTTATTATTATTATTTTTATTCAAGCAATGAAATCACATTGTTTGGATACATTTATTTTCTTACTTTACAAATTACTGTTTTGATAAATGTGCTTAGATGTGTTTAGTACAGTATATGCTCTAAAAAAACATATTAAGGTGTAATTTTTGAGGCCGGGAACCAATTAATTGGTTTTCCATTATTTCTTATGGGGAAAATTCGATCAAAACTCGAACTGGAGTTCTGAACGGGTTAAGTTTGAGTTTCGAGGTACCACTGTATTGGGTTTGCAGTCCTAATGAGGAATTTGAAAGAATTAACAGGTCTAACAAGTTCCACCACCTCACCATAACATCTGAAAATGACTTCTGCTGGCTGACATGTGTGTGCGTGTGTTCGTTCGTTCGTTCAGGGAGCTCCTTTCGTCTGGTCCAAACGGGCTGGTCCTCAGCACTGATGATTACTTCTCCCAGGAGACAGGCTATGCTTATGACCCAGGTCTGTTGGGAGACGCACACAGCTGGAATCAAAACCGGGGTAAGATTACACTCATTGCTTTCGGTCTCTTTCCAGACAGCCCCTGGAAAATATTTGGCTTATTTCTTCAGTTTCACAGTTGCTGGAAAGTAGCAAACATTTAGCATTACATTTTTCTATGTTCTGGATATCAAATTGCATGTATTGATGTATCTGCATTATGATTTTTCTGTGTATTATGCTCGTTCCTTTTATAAATCAGAATTTCTGCTTTGGATGGATGTGTGTTGATAGCTTAGGAAATAAACATCTGCTGTTTCTTGTTTTTCAGCCAGGGAGGCTATGGATGAAAACCGTTCTCCAGTAATTATTGACAATACAAACATGCAGGCTTGGGAAATGAAGCCATATGCGGAAATGGTGAGAAGTTTCTGCTTTAAGACCATCAATGTCCTTTAGATCTAAGAGGAGTCTGAGTTTGTCAGATTATGTATTTTGAAAAATGTCATTGGCGCTTGTTGTTTACAGTGATTTTGAATTTGAATTTCCTCTGTTATGTCACAGGCTGTAGAAAGGGGGTATCGTGTGGATTTCTGTGAGCCCAGCACCAACTGGAAGTTGGATCCCACAGAGTTGGAAAAGTAAAGACTCCATTTTAAGCCTATGTTTTAAACGTAACCTATACAGTTCTACGAGTGTAGTCAGTATTTCAGAATCAGGTGACAGTTTCAGTTTCAATTTAATAAATTCTTAATACTGTGCCATAAACACAATTGCTGTACCGGTGTCTCTTGTACCAGGGTACATTAATTTTAACTATTCATTAAAATTTCCACTAATGCTGTGAACAGATGCTGATTAAAGCCATATTCTTCTGTTTTCTTGCTTTTCTTTTCCCAGGAGAAACAAGCATGGTGTCAGCCGGCAGAAAATTTTAGAAATGCTGGAGCGTTTTGAGTTGCCAATGTCCCTGGACATTGTGTTGAACTCGCAGCAACCCCTCCACAAAAGCAGAGGGCACTCTTCGACGCAGCCCAAGCAGAGATTGCATGACACTGGAGATAATGTCCCTGACTGAGGGCATTCTACTACTTTCCAGTTTAATTATTATTTGTTGATTACACCAGCAATTAGTAAATCAATGGAGTGCTTTTTTTATATCAATGACATATCTCTTACTAGAGAGCCTCTTTAGGTGCTCGCTGTTCATGGTCTGCAAAACTGCAGCTGAGATGAGCTGGTAAACTGTGATTAAGTGTCTTCAGGCTTATGTTTTCTACTTATAACTATGCAGGGATTGTAGTGAATTTTCTACCTTGCAAGTCCTGGAATGTCCACCAGGGGAGTCAGAGGGGCATGGATACTGGGGGCCCAGCCCTGTATATGGGCCCTAAATTTTGCCAGACCCCCGCTCAGCAAAATGTACTGTCGGAGGATCTGTATTTTTTCAGATTGAAAGTGCCAACTCTAGCAGCGGGCCAGTCCATTTTGTTGAAATAGGGGCAGAATTACTACTCCCCTGAAGTCTACTGCAGCTATTGAAATCAGTTCTATGGTACATACCGCACAGGGACTTCGAGGAATCGGCATTCGCACTGTTATTTTTGTCAGTGCTTGTTTACTTGCCTAAGATTTATTCATGCCGTACCTTGCTGCCACTTTGCCTGGACAGGATTTCGTTGTCTCCTAAACTGTAAACTAGGAAAAAACAGGCTATATTCCTTATTTTTCTGTCAAGGTTAGTATCAACATTTAAAAAACCACGAGACTGGGTGATGTAATATGCCCAGTGCTGTGTGGGGCACACTGGAAATTTAGAGGTTATGTCTTGAAAACAAAATTAGTCTTTGGAGCCTGTCTTATTACCAGCAGTGCAGTTCCTCACTGACACGCTAGTGTGACACCATGAGTTCAACCTGCCCTGTTAGCTTCATGATTAAACACGTATATAGATATACATGAATTCACAAAGATCACCACCATATCTCAAGTTTTTCTCAGTGTAGAGGAACTCTTCCGCTGACAAGGATACATAAATCTTACTGTTTTGTTAGCTTTTAGACAAGTCGTGTAATGGCATGTACATTTGTCTTTGATTGGGAATGTGTAGATGTGTAGAGATTGTTAAAGCCTGATGAACTACTTATAGTATTTAAAAAAAAAAGAATTAGATTGTATAGAGTCATTGTACAGTTTGAATTCAGCTACTACATGGCAATATTTTATTCAGGTATTTTACATAAAATTTTGTATATAGATATTTTGTATATGTGGATTTTAATGTTTAATGTAAATTAAATAATAAGCGTAAGTAAATTGCAGTGTAAATCTGTAAATCCATTAAATAAAGTAGTTTTAATGATTGAGTGTTTTGATTTTCAATATACATCATTATTTTTTTTTCCTGTTTGTTCAGATAGTCCGAGGGTGGCATGGTGGCGCAGTGGTTAGCGCTGCCGCCTCATGGTAAGAAGGTCCTGGGTTCGCTCCCCGGGTCGGGCGCAGTGCCTTTCTGTGTGGAGTTTGCGTGGGTGTCCTCCCACAGTCCAGTAGTGTGCAGGATAGGTTGATTGGCAACTCTAAGTTGACCCTGTGCGTCTGTCTGTGTGTGTGCACCCTGCGACTGCCCAGGGTTGGTTCCTGCCTGTGTCCATTATTCCTGGGATAAGCTCCGGTCCCCCCCATGACCCCAGTTTGGGATTAAGTGGTTACGGTGATGGATGGATAGTCAGAAATTGTCTGTAGTGTCTTGTTAATTATTATAATACTTTTATTCTCTATTTGGACAAGTGTGAGTACAGGCACATATTACTTCTTTGGTTGTCACCATGAGAGACAGTGACATTTGGGGTGAGAGAGCAGGATCGGCCATCTGTCCTGGGTTTGTGGTTAAAGGCCAACTGGGTCATGGTTACTATTCCAGTCACTGGATTTTTTTTACAGGTCTTTCTGTCCTTCATTTAGGACAACCTGGCAACTCAGGCATGTATATACAGTGCCCTCCATAATGTTTGGGACGAAGACACATTTTTCCTTGATTTACCCCAAATCTAACAATTCAGACATGATTAAATGGCACATTCCAGACTTTAAAGTTATTTCCGTACATTTTGGTTTCACCATGTAGAAATGACAACACATTTTATACGTAGTCCCCCTCATATCAGGGCACCATAATGCTTGGGACATGGCAGTTGTTTGTGATTAATCAGGTTGCTTCACAAGTGCAGGGATAAGATATCTAGGCTTGTTTCTCATTTGGAGTCTGTAGTTGCTATTCTTAAACTTGAGGAGAAGAGCTGTGTCAATGAAAGTCAAAGAAGCTATTATGAGGCTAAAAAACAAGAATAAAACCATTAGAGACATCAGTCAAACCTTAGGATTACAACATTAACTCTGGAATATCATTAAGAAGAAAGAAACCACTGATGAGCTCAGTAATCGCAAAGGGACTGATAGGCCAAGGAAGACCTCCGCTGATGAGCTCAGTAATCGCAAAGGGACTGATAGGCCAAGGAAGACCTCCGCTGATGAGCTCAGTAATCGCAAAGGGACTGATAGCAGGAGCCAGGAGTGTCTTTGTGAGAGATGACTATCTGCAGAAGACTTCATGCACAGAAATACAGAGGCTACACTGCAAGATGCAAACCACCAGTCAGCCACTAAAACAGGAGGGGCAGGTTACAGTTTGGAAAAAGAAGTACTTAGAAGAACATGCAGAATTCTGGAAAAAGGTCTTATGAACAGAGAGACCAAGATTAGCCAGTATCAGAGTGATGGCAAGAGGAAATTGTAGAAACGAAACGGAACTGCCCAAGATCCAAAGCATACCAGCTCTTCTGTTAACCACGATGGTGAGGGTGTTATGGCTTGGGCATGTTTGGCTGCCACAGATGCTGGCATTGATGACTGATGATGTAACTGCTGACAGTCACACTGAATTCTGAGGTGTGTAGAAACATCTTACCTGCTTCAGTTCTACTAAATGCCTCCAAATCCATTGGACGGCACTTCAACCCACGACAAGATAATGGTCCCAAACATACTGCTAAGGCAAACACAAGTTTTTTTTCAAAGCTAAAAAAATGGAAAATTCTTCAATGGCGCCAAGCCAGTCACCCGATTTAAATCCAGCTTAGCACGCCTTCAATATAGTGAAGAGGAAACTTAAAGGGGCAAGTCCCCCAAAACAAGCAGAAGCTGAAAGTGGCTGCAGTAGAGGCTTGGCAAAGCATCACCAGAGAAGATACTCAGCACCTGGTGATGTCTGTAAATCACAGGCTTCAAGCAGTTGTTGCATGCAAGGAATATGCAACAAAGTACTAAAAGTGTTGTAATTTCTGCATAGTGAAACCGAAATGTCTGCAAATAACTTTCAAGTTGTACACTTTGTGCACTTTAATCATGTCTGAGTTGTTTGATTTGAAATTTTGAACTGTGGAGCAGAGGATTAAATCAAGGAAGAATGTGTCTTAGTCCCAAACATTTCGGAGGGCACTTTGTGTGTGTGTGTTTGTGTGTGTGTGTGTGTGTGTGTGAGTGAGAGAGTGAGTGAGTCTGTAGTGCCAATCAATTTCCAGTTAAAGGGTAGATTAGCCTACATGTTTTACCAATATCACATATACGAACCTTTTGTGGATCCTATTGTAAGTCAGAGGAGAAAGTGGGACTTAGTTGAGCATAAAATAAAGGCAACGTCCAAAAGCCTTTAATATTTCAAGGTGGCTAAATTTGTAGGTTGATTTCTTTTAATCAAGTAATTAATTTTTGACGTCTGGTGTTCTTTTTTACGATGGTGCTTACGTGGGTGAGGCTCCAGCAGGGGGCAGTGTTGCACCAGTTTTGCCGCTCTGGCTGTCAGCGTACGCAGTGATGGAGCCTGGGCTCTCCTATTGGTGCATCATGGGGTGATCTGAGGTGCGGAGTCATGTGAGATGCATTCGTTTACTAATCAGAATGAGAAGTACATGCCCATCTGACACCTAAAGCAAAAATGGATAATGAGAGACTCAAACTAATAACAGTCAAGCCTGGGCTGTGAATGATGCATTAGGAGTGAATTGCAGCATTTGTGTTATGTGTCCACCCAGTTTTGAGACTAGATCTTTTGAGCTTGTTGCCATCAGCCTTGCAAACATACTTGAAATTACCCGAAATAACTAACTTAAATGTTTGTTCTTTCTGTAGCCCATTACCCAAGTTTTAATGCAACTGAAAAAAAGATTAACAAAGCTTCCATTCTGTGGCATTTTGTAGGATCATGGAACAGTTGTTAATACAGTTATCCTATAATTAGTAGACACACTTGTTAATACTTGGTATATCGATGAATAATTAGTAATTATTTAACTAGCAAACATTGCATTTTGTTTATAATCTTGTTACTACCCAACATGTGCTAGTGGCTCCATAATAAACTGCACTGTCAATTAGGTTTGTTGTGCAGTGACCGTCCCGGTGCCCATTTGGCTGAAGAAACGCCACTATTGGCTGCCCTTCACGTGATTTAGCCCCCTTCATGTGAGGAGAGGTACCTTATAGAGCAAGAAAATATGATGAAGTGTCTCAATGAGTGTCTTTCTCTTGGAGTGAATGTGATAATAGTAGATACTTTATTGATCCCCATGGGGAGACTCTCTTCCCACCTCACTCATCTTGCCCTCTGTAGGTGAGAGTAAGCTGGCCACAAAGGGAAGCCACTTGTTACAGTGCCGAGGGAGCTGGGGGTTAAGGGCCTTACTCAAGGATCCAGAGGCGTACCAAGGCTGGGATTGAACTGGCAACCTTCTGATCACAGGCACAGCCCACTGAGCCATACACGTGGTGTCGTATTAGGTGCCCTTACAGTGGTCTAAGCAGTCACTATGGGTTCCCTTCCAATGGAAAATGATGCCGTTATGAACTGCCCTTGTAATGGAGAGAACAATCTCTTTGATAGGAGCCCTTCCAGTGAAGTAAATGAGATATGTTGTCCCACTATGAGACGCAGTTTCCTGTACATTCGATAAAAGTAAATCAGTAATGTATCCTCTAAATGTTCCTCTGTATATGAAAATGTGATGTCAGGTTGCTTCTGTATTCTCATTAGTTGGACAATCTTAATCAGGGAGTATTTCATAAAACAAACATAGTGTTCCATTCTACACGTGTTTGCGGGGTGGGGGGGGGGGACTTTTTATTTTCTTGCCCCTGCCCTCCATACAGCCTCAGAGTCCGCACTGCTCTGTATGTATATTTGCATTGCATCTCTCTTTGTATCCTCACCCTGGTGTCCTTTTTGCAAAGCAAAATTTAGTCACCCTAGTTCTACACTCAGGTTCTGTTACTATATCCCGTTAAATAATCTAACCAAAGTTTTTTTAACGAGAAAAGCATTTCAAAGTGGGTACTGCATGTCCTTGATCAGTCTTTAATGGATACCATGAAAGTCAAGTGTTCATTAAAATACCGCAAAATATTGGACAGCGTGTTCCGCCAATGATTCTGTCTCCAGTCTTATTTTTGCAGACAGTTACACAAACAGGATGGTAAGTGGGTTAATGGATGGTAGAAACCCAGAGAGATGCACCAGGAAAAGAGGAAATGAGACTCTGCATTAACGTGTTGTGTAACGTCCTATTAATTGGCAGAGTTAACTTGAGCTAAAGTGAAATTAGTTTTGTGCTAGTTGAAACCAGCAGAGGGACCATTCTGCCATATTGGTGCTATTTCTGTCTCCAGGACATTATACACATAAATATGCTTGAAAATTAGCTTTATAATACATGTTATTATGAAGCAAAGAGTCCTCCACAATCTCCTCATTGTGAATATACATAATGCAAAACATTAATAAAAACTACTTAGAACACTGAAAAAATAGTTTGTCACCTGTCCCTATTCACTAATGCTACACTGTACCATAAAATATAATGCTTAAAACATTTTTTTTTTTAATTTGTATTATTGTGTGACCAGTATTTTCGATTTACGCTTTAAATACATTTTCTTTATTAATAAATAATATAACATTTTAGTTGTCTCCCTAGGTTTTCACTCAGTCCTGTTATCCTAATACATTTCCGCCCCTAAAAAATTTGGCGTGGCATGTTCAATTGGAACTTGCATCATCTCACCATGGGAAAACCAAAAGTAAGTTCTCTCACTTTTTTCTTCTTTTTGTTTGGTATTGTAAGTATATCTGAAGCGGTGGAATGTAACACTGTCCTGTTATCTAAATTATTTCTTAGACTTTGTTTGTTTGTTTGTTTGTTTGTTTATGGGAAAAAATACATTTTTGGTAAGTTACTTGAATGTGCTCAACGTTATCATACTATTAGCTTAGATGACACGTTTTATTTTTATGCAAAAAGTCAGTTCTTTTACT